GTAGTTTCCACAACCTGCACATCCCAGGATCAATTCCTCTTTGGAAGTTGCTTTTTTTTTTCCTTCCTTTTAAAATAATGTTCAGCCAACTTCTCAAATCTGAAATTTAGGGCTTACACCATCATGACCTAATGAAAGATTTTCATGCATTCATATGGGGCTTAGAGAATTCATTTTTCTATGCCTAATAAGGATATGTCCTATCTGCTCTCTTGACTCTTTAAAATTCATTTTGCTCTGTGAGATTAGAATCAGAACAATTCATTTGCTTGTGGACCACTAAAGCCAGTGGAAACTTCTGCACATACACCCATTGCCCATCATGTATTCTATAGATCTTGTTTTCTAGATGAAAAGTGGCACCAAAGAATGCTTCTTATGCTCCTGTGACATCTCATGGGAAGTATTAGCCTTGACTCTGTGGTCCCATTCCCACAGAATGTCCTCTGAATTCCTTGCTAGAGGATGGGAGGCTTGAAAGAACACCCCCTCTGGAGGCAGGTGACCTAGTTCTCATCTCACCTCCGATGAAGTACTACCTGGAAGACTCTGGACTCCATGGTCCTGAGTTTCTTCATCCGTAAGATGGCAGAGTTTGATTAGATCAGAGGTGTTAGACACCCAGATTAGGGTCCAGCAACACTCCCAAGTGCAGCCAGAACCAGATTAAAATGTAGTTGGGAACAGTTAACAAAATAAATAAAAATATAATAGAGCATAGATAATGTTAGTATGTGGTTTCTTAAATCAATAGATGGCCCTGCAGGGATCCTTCTGTATAGTTTAGCAGTTCCTGTTTCTGTTTTGAGTTTGACACCAATGGACTGGATGGTCTCTGAGACCCCTTCCAGCTCTAAATCTGTGATCCTCTCACCCGTGAATGCTAAAGCAGCTGTATACATCTTCTGGGGAGCCAGGAGGCTGGAAGATGGGGCACATAGAGGACTTGGGGGGCCAGGGGTTACTTCCTGGGTGTGTTCCTGGGGGCTTTGGATTGCCCTCCTAGGGGCTGCAGTAACTCCTCGTTACTGACCCTATGTCCTCTCTTTTCCAGTGAAAAAAAAAAGAAATTGGCATAAACACGACACCGGGCAGACAACAGATGTCAAACCTGTCCAGAATGGGAGTCAAGTGTTCATCAAAGAGCTGAGGAGCCGAACCTTCCCCAGGTGGGTATGCGGGCCAACGAGGGCAGGAGGCTATGAGACCACAGCCCTCTGTAGGAAGACTCTGGATTGGGAGTCTGGGGAACATAGCTCTCCAGGGGCAGTTTGCCATTGGGGTGCTAGATAGTGAAATCTTCTAGTGGAGTTTGTGAGTTTGGTGGCATACAGATTAATTAACTAAAGTAAGTTTTTTTTTTTTAATTTATTTTTTTTTTTTGGTGAGGCAATTGGGGTTAAGTGACTTGCCTAGGGTCACACAGCTAGTAAGTGTCTGGTGTCTGGTCTGAGGCTGGATTTGTACTCAGGACTTGTACTCAGAAAGACTTGGGTTCAAATCCTCAGAAACTTAGTAGCTGTGTAATCCTGGACACAATGACTTTACTCAACTGCCTCTCTGTGCCTCAGTTTCCTCACTTGTAAAATGAGGTGGTTGAACTCGAAGACCTCTGAGATCTCTTCCAGCTCTAAATTCTATGGTTCTATGATCTCTGAAGTCTTTTCCAGTTTTAAATCTTTTTTTTTTTTTTTTTTTTTTTTTTTTTTTTTTTTTTTTTTTTGTGAGACAATTGAGGTTAAGTAACTTGCCCAGAGTGTGTCTGAGGCTGGATTTGAACTCAGGTCCTCCTGACTCCAGGGCTGGTACTCTATCCACTGCGCCACCTAGCCTCCCCACCAGTTTTAAATCTTATGAAGCTATGGTTCTGTGCTTAAAATGTGCAGATCTAGTTATCTAGCTATAAACAGGTCAGTTTCAAGAACAGTTAATTCCATCGCCAATGGAGCTGTGCGACCTTGGGTAAATCATTTAATCTCTTTTGGCTTGGATTGCCTAAGAAGTAGGACAAGTCTTTACTTTTCAAAAGGAAGGGAACCAGGCAGGATATCATCTTGAGATCCCTTCTATTGATAGGCCTGTGGTTCTGTGATTAAGAAAACTCGGCTGCCTCTGATAGGAAAAGTGCAAGCTGGATGTCTGTAGAGGGGGATGGAGATGGGTGGGCTTGTCTAAGGATGCTATATGTGGGAAAGGCAGAGAGCTATTTTTGTGAAGAATAATAACTGCATTTAAGCCCCATATGAAGGATTCCTCTCCCCAACCCCCCCGCCCCCCTGCCACGGAATTGGGGGAATAAGGATGTCCCTCTTCTGCTTGAAAGAGTTAGATGGGAAACGGGTTAGAGGTTTAGGGAGGACTTACACTCACCCTGGGAGGACCATGAGAAGCAATTGAATCATGAGTAAATAAAGCTGATAAAACAGAATTAGATCTTCCCTTTCATGCCAGGCCTGGCCTGAGGGCACCCTTCTAGTCACTGGTTAGCTTTGTTTAGACTTGGTAATAACAGGAATTTATATAGCCCTTTAGAATTCACAGTGAGCTTAAATTACATTATTTCTTTTGAATCTTACAACAAACCTGTGAGAGGAAAGTACTGTGATATTATTACCCCCTAGTTTACAGATGGGGAAACTGAAGCCCAGTGAGGTTAAATGACTTGTCTGTGGTCCGAGGTGGGGCACTTTCTTTTTATTCTCTTAGTATGTTGTGCCTTAAAGCCTATTCTCTTGGGAAGAAGGACCAACATCAGACATTGGGTCCTGGCATTTTCCTGAACCAAAGGCTAAGGAAACTCAATCCTGCCAGTGTATTTTGTCAAACCCAGGACTTCTTTCCTCCAAGTTCACTCACCTCTCTTTTCTTTGCACCAGCAGGGTCTCTCTTACTTTCCCCCTCTGCTCTCTATAGCATGGTGCTCTATCAGCGACAGTCCATTCATCAAATATCATTTCAAAGATTAAAGGGCACCTGAATTTTACAAACCCTTCCTGAGCTGACTGTTGGGTCTGGGAGGCCTAGGAGGATGCTAAGAAGTTACATGGGAGCTACCAGGATGGAGGTCAGGAGCTGATGTCCTGAATGAATCAACAGGCTTTTTTTTGGGAAGCTGTCTTCTCATTCTCTTAACTGTTTGTGTCCCAGAGCTCATTCTTTTGGGAAGAAGAACCAATAAGAGACAGCTGGCTCATTGGGTCCTGGCATCTGCCTGAACCAGAGCTCTAGGAAAACAGTCTTGCCAACATATTTTGTACAGGGCTGATACTCTCCTAGGAGGCCCCATCTGGGACCTGAGAGTCTAATTATGGATATCAAGGGATATGATCATGAAATCATAGGTCTAGAGTTAAATGTAACTACTTCGTTTTATAAGTAAAGAAACTGAGGGCTACAGGGGTAAAATTACTTGTCCAAGGTCACACAGCTAATAAGTAGCAGAACCAGGATTTGACTCCAGATCTGGATTCTTCCCACGCCATTCCTCCCCATTTTTTAAAGTTTTATTGAGGTTCTTTAAAAAAAACAAAACAAAACAATGCTGTCACTTCCTATTGATCTGCTTACAGGCCACCCAATAGAAACCTTTCTTATTAGAATAATAATAATAATACTAATAATAAATAGCTAGAATTTATATAGTGCTTTAAGGTTTGCAAAGTACTTTACAGCTATTGACTCATTTTATCTTCACAATGGTTCTGAGAGGAAGTTGCTATTATCCCCATCTTATAGATGAAGAAACCCAGGCGGGCAGATGTTAAGTGACGAACCCAGGGTCACATGGCTAGTAAGTGTCTGAGGCAGGATTTGAACTCGGGCCTTTCTAACTCCAGATCCTGTGCTCTGTGCACTATGGGGCCCACCTAACTGCCTCTCATGTTACAAATTAATACAGTTAAGCAAAACAAATCAACATGGCCATATCCAAAAATGCATGCCTCATTCTCCACCTCTCGTACACTACCTCTTTGCTGATTGGTGTAGACATGCTTCTATGACTCTTGACTCTGAAAATCGTGATTGAATACTGCATTGAGCAGAGTTCTAATGTTGTTTTTCTTTATATTATTGTGGCCTTGGTGTAAATTATTCTGGTTATACTGATTTTGCTCTAAATCAGTTCCTACATGTCTTCAAAGTTCCTTTGAATTCTTTCTTCATCATCATTTTTCACAGTAGAATAATATTCTATTAAGTACTAGCCTTGGAGTCAGGAGGACCTGAGTTCAAATCTGGCCTCAGACACTTACTAGCTATGTGACTCTGGGCAAGTTACTTAACTCTGATTGCCTAAAAAAAAATTATTCCATTCCATTCACATATCACAATTTGTTTAGTCATTCCTGGATTAATAGGAACCCATTTTCCCTCCAGTTCTTTGCTGTTAAAAAAAGTGCTGCTGTAAATATTTTTGTGTATGTGGGATCTCAACACCCTTTACTTACTGCACTCGTACCTCCATATATCCTTGCGTACTCAGGAGAAAGAGGCTCCTTAGCTGTCTCTGAGGTGAGAGGCCCAGGACAGCCGGGGCTTTATAGAGTCCCTGTTCTTTTTTGCAACCTGTGGCCATGTCTTTGTGTTTCAGGCATTTTGCTGACAGTATGTGTCAATCAGAGCACATCTGAAAAAACTTTTTAGTTGACCATCTGGAACCAGAGATCATTTTAGTACTGGTTAGTTATAATTATGGGGTTCCCTTAATACCTGCCATCCCATTGATTTCAAAAGGTGCTCAGCAGTTAAAGTGTCTGCCTAGCTGAATGTCTACATGATTCTCCTGTGGTAGTGAGGACCTTGGCTCCACTGCCATTGAAAATGGGAACCTGGGAAAGTTGCCTCCAGTGTAGAAGGTGCTGATAGGGAGACCTGAAGTTGGTTGGGTAGGAATAAGGCTGCGTGGGCCACTGGCTCTGCTCAGAACTATTGGTGAAATGATGGGTTATCAAGCATATGAAAGGGACCTTGAAGTCACGCAGCCCCACCTCCTCATTGTACAAAGAAGTAAACTTCCCTTGAGAAAGGAAATGATTTGTCCAAGGTCACTCAGCTAATACATAGCAGATCTAAGGCCACAACACAGATGTTTTATCTCCAAATCCAGTGCTCTTTCTTTAAAAACAATTTTTCGATGAATAATGTCTCATGCTACATATTTAGTTCATCACGTCTCAGGAGGTAGGTACCTTCCTCATCATTGGTCTCTGTAATGGTTTTTGGTCATTGCATTAATCAGAATTTTTAAGTCTTTCAGAGTGATTTGTTTTCACAATGTGGTTCTTATAATAAAAATTGTTCTCTTGGTTCTGTTCACTATGTCATCACCTCAGACAGTCTTCCTATGTTTTTCTGCAACCATCGTTTCATTATTCTTCCAGCACATTAGTATTCTGTTACATTCATATTCCATAATTTGTTGAGTACCACCTCCATTTTCAGTTCTGCCACTACAAAAAAAAAGTGGCTACCAATATTTTTGTACATATGGGTCCTCTTCCTCTTTCTTTGATCTCTTTGGGGTATAGACTTAGTGACAGTATTGCTGGGCCAAGGGGTATACCCAGCTTAGTAAACTTTTGAACATAGTTCCAAATTGCTTTCCAGAATGGCTGGACTGGTTCAGAACTCTGCCAATAGTACATTAGTTTGCCTGTTTTCCCAAAGACCCTCCAGCATTTGCCATTTTCCTTCTTTGTCAACTTTGCCAGTCTGATTGGTATGAAATGACACCTCCAAATTGCTTTAAATGTGCATTTCTCTAATTATTAATGATTTAAATCATTTTTCTATATGACTCAGTGCTGTCTCCATAATTCCACAATTCCTGAATTATTAGTGATTAACCACTGCCCCTACAGGGGTTGACCCATACACAGAGTGAGCAATGGTTCTGTCCTTGACTCCTGGTTTCATCAGGAACATGAGATGGTTAAAACCTCCATGTGTCTTGGAAGGTGGGGAAACTCTTATTTCCTTGATATTTCACATTGTCCATGTGTTCCTGACTGCATGAGTGTCTCCTTTAATTCTAGTCACCAAAGAGAATTTCAGCCTCCTGCTGTCTCCCTCTGTGGCATGGGGGAAGGTTAAGTGAGATGCTTCCTTTAGCCCTCAGGGGCTTCTACCCTCAGACCTCTGAAGCCATCTGGGGTGGCAAGGATGTGATGCCATGAGTCTGGACCGGCTTTGGTTTTGGTCCCTTTCCAATCTTTGACTAGCAAGGTGGCTTTGATCAAGTGCCTTAAACTTCTCCAGGCCTCAGTTTCCTCACATGTAAAGTTAGGCTATAGTACCACCTCTCCTGCTTATCTCACTCTTATTTTGTCCCACTTGAGAACATGCGTTGTTTTCCCAGAGCCTCGCCCCATGCCCAGCTTATGATAGGCACTTAATGAACGATTATGGATTGGTTGATTGGTCTGACAGGGATGCTCTGGTGGTTAAATAAGATAATTGATAGGAAAGTGCTTTGTACCCTGGGAAAGCACCATGTGAAGAGATGGGGCTATTGTTCTACTCAAGCAGCTTTTCCAGTGTACTCTACAGTGCCAGTAACATATCTCAGTGCCATACTTTGCTCAGTGGAAAACCAACAAAAATAACAAGACCCCTAGAGTCTATAATCTAGTTTCTCTTTGTATATTCAGTAACTGATCACTGATGATGGCTAGGGTTTTCCCTAACCCCAAAAGATTGCTTTCTCAATCTTTTACCTCACTTTCTCTCTTCAGTTCAGCCTTTATAGGTAGCAAATCGATAGTGGAAAGATTTGGAGTCAGAAGACTTGGGTTTCACTCCTTGGTGCTGCCACTTGTCACATGTGTGACCTTTAACAAATTACTTGGGGCAGCTGGGTGGCTCAGTGGATAGAACACCGGCCCTAAAGTCAGGAGGACCTGAGTTCAAATCTGGCCTCAGACCAAACACTTGTCACTATCTGTGTGACCCTGGGCAAGTCACTTAACCCCAAATGCCTAAGAAATTACAAAAAAAAAAAACCAAATCACTTAACTTCTATGGGAGCCTCAGTTTCCTCATCTGTAAAATGAAGGCATTGGACCAGATTAAGGGTTCTTGGCCTCTTTTTTGTGATGTACCCCTTCGGCAAGTCTAGTGAAACCTATTTTCAGTGAAACCTTTCTTGGGAGTAATATTTTTAAGTGCAAATATATATATATATGTATATATAATATTACAAAGGAAACCATCATGCTGAGATATAATTATCAAAATATTAAAATTTCCAAGTTAAGAGGTACCAGGTTAAGAACCCCTTGAGCGGATGATCTCCAAGTTTCCCTTGCACTCTAATTCCTGTGGATCCTTCTCTGACTGTTTAGGGGGAAGGGGGAAAGGAAACAAGCATTTTTTAACACCTGTCATGTTCCAGGCATGGCTAAGTGATCTACAAATATTATATCATTTGATATAGGGAGACTCTGCCAGCCTTGGGAAGTGGTCAGGCAACACAGCCCTTTCCTGGCTCTTTTCACTTGCCAAGCCAGCTCATCCTGAGGGGAATCTTAGAGCCCCTTCCTTTAATCACTTTCCCCAGCAGGGAAAACATTAGAGATGGATCTGTTCCTAGGTTCCAAGCCAAAAGGCAGTGTCCATCCCCCCTCCAATCACTCAGCCCGATGAGAGTCAGTGTCTTATAGTGGAAAGGGCATGGCAGACAGAGTGAAAGGTCCTTTGTTCATATTCCAGCATCCCCACCTACACCACTGACTACATATGGGACCTTGGCAAGTCATACAAGTCTTTTTGGGTTCCTTGTTCGTAAAAAGGGGAGGGGGAGGATGTACTAGATCACATTTAACATTCCTGCCAAATGTAAATCTCTGACCCTAGGAGCCATGGTGGGCTGACTGCTGGGTTATTGGTAGGGTGGTGGGAAGTTATTACACCAAGCCATTGGAGGCCAAATGGAATGAATACTGGTTCTGGAGTCAAGCCTTGAGTTCTAATCTTGCCTCTGATGCCTCTTCCCTTTGTGACCTTTACAGGTCACTTTTACTCCTCTTCCTCCTCCTTCTACTCCCTCTCCCCCTCCTCCTCCTCTTCTTCCCCTCTCCTCCTCCCCTCTTCTTCCTCTTCCTCTTCCTCCCCCCTCACTCCCTTTCTGGCTTACAGCTGGAAACGTGTCTTCTAGGGAGATGGTGTCCTCCGCTGGCCCTCTGTAGTTTGGGGAATGCACAGTAGAGGGCAGGAGAGGATTAGTCACTGCTGGGCCTCTCCCAAACAAATCTGGTCCCTGCAAACTTACACTGGGGTTTTCAGGAGTCCTGTCACAGCTGGGGTGGAGAGCAATAAGTCCCTGCTGGGTTCACCGACTTTGTTCAGTGCCTAGATCCTGGAACCGAGCAGGGGAAGCCCAAGCCTTCCTATTTCTTCTTCTTCCATCTGTTTCAGAAGCCACTACCAAGGGTCCAGGGGCTGGGAATGGTATTTCTCATGGTGACATTGAATGAGCAGTGTCCTGGCTGATGGAAGGGGAAGGTGTTTTCTGAGTAACAGTGTTCTAGAACTGCCTGCCACCCTCATTTCCCCAGTAACTCTGTGTTTTAGAGCAGGAAGGGATCATGGGAGTCTTCAAGCCTTGGGCAGCCAGCGGGAACAGGGTGGAACTGAAAGCGTAATGACTTAGATTTAAATTCTGCTCCTTTGTGACCCTAGGCAAGTCACCATGTCCCTCTGCTTTTAGCATCCTCACCGGGTCAGGGTAGCATGATGGAAGTTGGGGTTCTTAATCTGGGTTCTAGGACTTAAAAAATTTGTTTATAGCTGCATTTCAATATAATTGGTTATCTCTATAATCTTGTATATTTTATTTTATTCAGTTACCAACATGACTCAGATGAGTCTACAGATTTCACCTGAGGGGCAGCTAGGTGGTGCCCTGGATAGAGCACCTGGCCTTGGAGTCAGGAGGACCTGAGTTCAAATCCAGTCTCAGATACTTGACACTTACTAGCTGTGTGTCCCTGGGCAAGTCACTTAACCCTACTGCCTAGGCCCCCCCTCCCCCCAAAAAAAGAAACAAACAAAGGTGATATAGATTTCACCTGAGTGGCAAAGGAGGCTGTGACACACAAAAGGTTAGGAGAAGGAGGTCTGAGTTGACAGTGGGAGCATAAGAGTTCTAGTCTCAGTCCTGCCATTGTTAACTGTATGGCCTTGTTCAAGTCATATAATGATGATAATAACATTAATATTAATGATAATAAACAATGCTGATGATAATAATGTTTATATAACTCTTTAAGGTTTGCAAATAAAAAGAAAGATTTGCAAATCACTTTGATCCGCACAACCCTATAAAATAGATGCTATTTTTTATTCCCATTTATAGATGAGGAGACTGAGGTTTTTGTAGATAGGCAGACAGAGGCTAAGTGACTTGCTCAGGGCCATACAGCTAGGAAGTGTCTGAAGCATGATTTGAACTCAGGTCTTCCTGGCTCCGTGTCCTGATATTCCTTCAACTCTACCACCCAGCTGCCCTAAACTTCTTTGGGCCTCAGTTTCCTCATCTGTATAGTGAGAATGTTGGAGTAGATGATCTCTGAGGTCCCTTTCGCTCTAAATCCTTTACAGGCAGCCTTATTCTTTTATGGACCACAAGTGATTTGTGCTGGGTCTCACGGCTAATCTGTGGTAGAGATGTCAGTACAGCCATGTTTGTGGCAAATCATGGGACCTAAGCATTGTGATGCATTAACGGAGGAGTTCTCTGCTACTGATAAAGCCCCAAAACACTTTGAGCTTTGGACTATACATCCAAGTCCTCAGGAAAGTGGTGTGTGGTGGTGATATGGAGTCAGGAGATCTGAGTTTGAAGCTTGCCTCCAATACTTACTATGTAATATTGAGCCATTTGCTTAACTTTTCTGAGCCTCAGTTTCCTCACAAGTAAGGTGGGAATAACAATAGTTAACACTACTGACCTGAGAATGCTACATATACATAAACTGTTACTTTCTCTTCAGGAATTCTGGAGGCTTGGTTCTCTCCATTTGTGCCACCATTGTGTGGAAAGTCTCAATCAGGGAGGTACTAGGTGCTCATGGTGGGGCATTTGGGAATGAATGAGTAGTAAGCCTGGTGTTTCCCTCCTCCATTTCAGTGCGGATGATGTTGTCGTCAAAGTGCCCGGCAACCAGCTGACCCTGGACTATCTGGAGGACCGTGGCTTCACAGAGCCCATCCTCGTCCCCAAGAAGGATGGCTTAGGGCTGGCTGTCCCAGCTCCAACGTTTTACGTTAGTGACGTTGAGAACTATGTGGGTAGGTACTGCATTCGTCAGTCCTGGGAGGCCTCCTGGTTGGGCTGGGCTGCAGCCCCAGGGAGAGCCAGGGAGATCCACCTCTGCTGGTGTCCTGTTTGATTTGTGAAGATCCACATGTTTGACATAGGGAAGGGGATGTTTCAGGAGGGTGGGATATATCCGACCCTTTACTCGGCGCCTCTTAGACTCTGGGTAGGAAAAGTGCTCTGTTGTAGTGGATAGATAAATAGATAGCTGGTCTCCAAGGCAGAATGATCTGGGTTCAAGTCTCATCCCTGACCCATACTTGTGGGCATGGGCTAGCTGCTTGACCTTTCAGTGATCTGTGTGGCTCTGTAAGACTATACATTCCAGAAGAAGATTCCTGCATTGGTAGAGAAAGGTTCTTCATCATGAAATCCTCAAAAGCAATGAATTCAGAGATTCAGTCCCTAGTCCTATGCTCCAGGTAGTGTACTAGGCTCTGCAGACTAAAGACAAAAGCCAGATAGTCCTTGCCCTCAGTGAACTTACATTCTACTGTGGGGTCATGGTTCAGGGATGACTAGCATGAATGTAATATAAATATGCACAGTATATAAAATATTAGTAATACACAAAATATAAGCAATATACAATGTATCAAAAAGTAAATATAATTTTGTGGGAATAAGAGGACTAATAACTGGGGGAGGAGGGTCATACCAGAGAATATCTTCTGTAGGAGGTTGTAACTGAGCAGAGTCTCAAAGGGAACTAGGGATTTCAAGCCCTGGAGGTGAAGAGGGAGAGCATTCCAAGCATGGGGAAGGCAAAGGTGTGGAGGTAGGGAATGGAATATTGTGTATGGGGAAGAGCAAGTAGGCAAGTATGGCTACTGCACAGAATGAATGAAAGGGAGGAATGGGAAATCAGCTAGAGGAGAGGATGGAGATAGATTGTAGTTTTCACTTTTGAAAAAGATTTTTTTTTTCACTTAAGATGTAATTCATTATAGAATTCCTTATAAGTTATCCTGAGACATTTAAAATTTGATTCAATCTGACAAACTTCCTTTTACATATAATGATTTTTATTATGAACTTAATAAACAAAAAACGAATATTTTAGCATACATAGAACAGGAAAAGAGGATTATATATGAAACTGTGAATTTTTATTAGATATAATTTTTAAATGACAATGTTTTTGTTCCTTAGGATTTTCCTTACATTTTTTTCTATGTATTTTTTAAATGTTTCAGGTTTTCAGTGATGAAAGATGTTTTTAATGATGTCCCTTCTTCCCTTTTTCCCTTTTTCTCTCCTTTCCTTCCTTCCTCCCTCCCTCCCTCCCTTCCTCTCTCATTCCCTTTCCTCTCCCCAACAATTCCACACATAACTTCTGAGAAGCACAGTTATTATATAAAGTAGCATATACTCATATTTCTCCAGTTCTCCAGTTTGTCCATTTTGTGATGCCCTTTTTCATAGATCCTAGACCCAGCATAACTTCTTGACCCAAGGCACAAAGTTTTTACTTTCTCACCTTCTGGGTGCTTCCTGATTCAACTGAGGGGAGTCAGTTCACTTGGGATGTAATGCACCTTTCCACTATTGCTTGTACCAAGCAGGTGTCTGAAGCTCTTAGAGCTCTGCTATCCCTGCAGTCCCCTAAGCCTTCCCAGGACCTGTCTGGGCTGCTGATCCCTAGTGTGAGAAACACTTAAAAGAATAAAGAAACAATAGAAAAAGGTGAGAGTTATTTGAAAGCCTGTTTCCAGTGTAAAAATTCATTTTTGTTCTTCTTTTCTATGTAGTCAGTGAATCCTGTAGACCAGTGGTGTCAAACTCAAATACACATGCACTAAAAGTATTATCTATATTTTATTGTATTTTTGTTTTGCTAAATATTTCCTGATTACATAAAGCTCCAAATTACAGTTGAATCTGGCTAAACCTTACTGAGGAGCTTTGCTGCCTTGTGTCTGCCATCTTTGTGTAGAGCTGAAGTTCTTACCCTTTCTAGTGTCATGGTCTCCTTTGACCATCTGGTGAAGCCTCCCTGACTTCCTTTCCTTCCTTTCCTCTTTCCTTTCTCTCTTCCCTCCTTCCTTTCTCTTTCGCCCCTCCCCACTTTCCCTCCCCCCCTTCTCTCTCCCTCTCCCTCTTTTCCCCTCCCTATCTCCTTTCTTATTTACTTACTTGCATATGTGTTGTTTACCCCCCAGTAGAACATTAGCTCCTTTGAGGGCAGTTTCATTTTTGTCTTTTTATTTCTATGATGCCTTGTACATAGAAGGTACTTAACAAATGTATGCAGAATTGAACTGAAGCAGCATAGTAGAAGCTGGAGTAAAGTCATCTTGGGACTGGATGATTGATTCCCCCATGGTTTCCATTTTGCCCGTCACAGCTGCCATGTGCTATTCCTAATGTCTTATCACTCTGTGCTGAGAGACAGAGACAGAGAAATGGAGACACACACAGAAAGACACAGACAGAGACACAGAGACAGAGAGAGAGAGACAGAGACAAAGAGACAGAGAGAGAGAGAGAAGGAGGGAAGGAGAGGGAGGAGAGAGAGAATGAGAATATGTAACTGGGGGAATAATGTCACTCCTGTGCTTGAGTCCCTGTGGTTCCCTATTGCTTCTAAGATAAAATACAAATTTCTCTGGTATTAAAAGTCCTTCCCCGTCTGACTCCACCTTCCTTTTCCTCACTGATTCCACATTACTCACCCTCATGCACTCTTATGTTCCAGCTAATCTGGCTTACTTGATATTTCATTTTCTGCCTGTGTGCCTTTGCATGGATAGTCGCTCATTCTTGAAACATCCTTCTAAATGAATGAATGGATGGATGTATTGATGAATAAATGGATGGATAGATGTATTGATGAATTGATGAATGAATGGATGGATTGACGAGTGAATGTATGAGTGGATGAATACATGGATGGATGGATGTTTGGATGAATATATGGATGGATGGATGGATGAATGAAAAGATATTTATTAGGCACTTCGTATGTGCCAAGCACTGTGCTAAGTGCTGAGGGTACAAATACAAAAGCAAAGATTGTTTCTGCCCTCTACAAGCTTATGTTCTACAATTCAGATATGGAAGTAGTTGCCAGGGAGGGATACTTTGGTCTAGAAAGTCACAGGGATGGTAAGTGGGGCCATATATGAGTAGACTGACACACTCATAAAATATTAGTGGTTGATTTGATCATGGTTCATATTCCAAAACTGTGTGGGGAGGTTGCACATGGTTAGTGAGAAGACTGGAGGAGGTGGTTGGAGAAGAGGGAGGGAAGTGAAGCGTGAATAGTTTTTTTTTTTGCCCCTGAAAAATGGTTCAAAGGGCAGTCACCAATCAGGAAAATGGGGCCCCAAGGCTGAAGTTCCTCAGGGTGAGGTTTCTGGTGTGAGTGGTTGTTGTTGTTTGTCCTTTGTGCTCAAAGAGGACTATGACGTTAGGGAGGTGATGCCATGCCATGTGTCGACCTGGAAGTTGGTTAAAAAGACAACAAGTTAGGTGATAAGTAAATCCAAAGTTTATTCCCTTAAGTTATCGACATGTTACATGGAGCCAGAGCTTTAACTCTGACCGAATCAAGAAATTTTAGGAGGACATTTAAACCCTGATTCTGAATGTCTGTGTTACTCAGTTTATGATCTCCATATATTTAACCAGAGTATGAGAAAGGAATTGAACAAGATAGGCAAATGTCAGATCCAGGATGTTTGTGTTTCCTTTACCATCAAGATGAGAAAAATTCCCATTATTCAAGGTACTGTCTGGGTTAAAGGTGCCTTAGCCATCATAAACATAAGAATGCTCTTGATCAGCTTTAGCTGTTGACACAGGAAGGGGCATTCTCAATTCACTCAGGAAGAAAAGATTAATTCAGGTTTTTGGCCCTTATTGGGGCTCCATTGATCTTAAATGATTATCACATGCAAGTGAACGGGACTTAAGTGAGGCAGGGCTGGGCAAAGTCATCAGCCTTACTTCGTCCTCTGGAGCCATCTGGGTTGAGTAGTGAGATATAGATCAGCATGACTGGAGATGGTCCTCAAGGCACTCTACCTAGGTTTATAGTGATTAGTCCCAATTAGTCTGTTAGAACTGGTTGGGTAGGAGGCTGCTAAGGAAAGGAAGGAGTGAATGCCTTTTCTTTTTACCTCTTGTTCTAGGAAACCCCTTTAAGGCATATCTCCAGCATCCAATAACATTTAATAAATGTTTGCTAAGTGCCTACTGTGTGTCAGGTACTGTGATAAGGGCTGGAAATTAAAATATGAGTAAAATGGAAGATATCTCCCGCCCTTGAGGAGCTTCCATTCCCAGTGGGGAAGGCAGCAGGTAAAAGTAAGCTGAAAAGGGGAGGGGTGAAGTAGAAAGAAGGTACCTGGTGAGGGGGCATGATGGAGAAGACATCAGTAAGGAAATGAGGAGATGGCTGACCTGGGCACCCTCCTTAGGGAGAGTTTCTGGGAGGAGCCCTCTACCCTCCAGTAAGAGGCAGGGCCCCCAGAGATGAAATTGCTAGTGATTTATTATATGTTTGTATTTCTTATCTGGGTATTGTTCCCCTCAGTAGGAGGTAAGTTTCCTGAGGGCAGGGATGGTTTCTTTTTTGTCTTTGATGCCTTTCTCAGCATTTGTCACATGGTAGGAATTCAGTAAACACTTGTTATCTTGCGTTGAATTGAATTTCCTCTGACCCATTTCTCAAAGGGGAATAATTTTTGGACTGCTTCACTTTGCTGCTTGCTAGTTTTCATGATAAACCTAAAAGGAGGGTAAATGTTATTGTCTAGACTCTAGACTGTGGTAGAACCTGAGCAGAGAGTGCTGTTTAGTGTGACTAGTTGAAAGTCAGTTGTCCAGCCTCGCAAAGAGCTCCCAGCTCAGGGCAGTCATCTCTGGTCAGCATAGCCTGAGGTTACTAAAACCCTAAAGCTCCTTAGAAAGTGAGGCAGCCCTCTGGATTTTATCTTATTTTACAAGGTTGACTGAGGGTATAATTAGAATCCAGAGCCCTAGAACTCTGTCAGACAGTCAAGTCTCAGTGCTTCTCCTTCTGACATCTGTATTGTGCACGTGTGGGCCCCATGTTTGTCCGTTACTTGTTGGCAGCCACGTAGATGAGTGTGCCCCCATTTGAAACAGCAGCCTGATGACAAGAGTCGATAGGTTGTAGAGTACAGTTTTCTTCAGGTATAGGTTGGACTAGATGGTCTCATCCAGCTGTCCCATCCCCTTGTGAAATCCAGAGATTCTCTGGCCAGACCTAATGACTCCAGGCTCCTGACTTTAGAGATGCAGGGCTCATCTGTCTCTTGTTTGAATTCCTCAGGCCCAGAGAGGAGTGTGGATGTGACCGATGTCACCAAACAGAAAGACTGCAAGATGAAACTGAAGGAGTTTGTGGATTACTACTATAGCACCAACCGGAAACGGGTCCTCAACGTCACTAACTTGGAGTTTTCTGACACGAGGTGAGCCAGCCTTGCCCAGAGAGTCTTTGTGGAGTACTGGAAGTGTCTCTGTCCCCTCTGCAGACCGTGGCTCCCTCTGTTAATGAGTAACCAATTGACACTGGATTTCAGGAAATTGTTTCCCCAGCACTTAGAAATGGCTTAATTTCTTGTTCTTCTCTGTTACCTCAAACACCTGAAACATCTTGAGTGAGATAAGAGACAGTTGACATAGAAGACAGAGTGCTGGAAGCTGCCTGGGTTCAGATCCCATCTTAGATACTTAATTAGCTGTGTGACCTAGAACAAGACCATTAACCTCTTTGACCCTCCATTCTTTCTCTGTAAAATGAGGATGTTGGAGTAGATGATCTTTAAATTATTTTCCAGCTCAGTCTATGATCCTGTGATCTCAGTGGTCTGGAAAATTTGTCTTTCCCTTTCCATGCCTTTTCCTTCTCAGTCAGAGACAGGCTATGAAGGAAAACCAGCAGGCACCTGTGAATGCTTGGTGCTAGGAACAGGGAAGGGAAGTTTAAAAAAAAAAAAAAGGACATTTTGGCTTGGCCTATGGAAAAACTTTATAAGATTTAGATCTGTCTCAATTGGTAATGGATTCCCTCATTATAGACCTTCAGACAGAGACTGGATGACTTGTCTTTGACATGAATGCTATAGAGGCAATTCCTGTTTGGATGATAGATTTAGAGGCAATACCAGTTGGATGATAAGACCTCAGATGTTCCTTCCAATTCTGTGATTAATTATTGAGTAGGAACCTTCAGATTGTGGGGGCTGCCTCAGGTTTGGAACAGTAGCCGTGGTAGATATCCTTGTTATTTTGATTTTGTAATGTGGGCTGCTCAGTAATTCACAGAGAGATGGATGGGATTGTCTCCGTTTTCTCCTTGTGATAAAGAATGGCAAAATTAGGAAGTTGCCCAGATTTGTCCTTGGCCCCACTACGTAACCTCCTCTTGCCATTCCTTTGTGTCATTGTAGCCCAGAAAGTCCCCAGGGACCCATGCTTCCGTATTCTACCTAGAATTTCCCACTGTGCCCTTAGGCAGGTGTCCCACTGGGAATTCTCTATGCTAGAGACGTCTTTTCCTTCCCCAGAGCAGAGCCTTCCCTTTATTACTAAGATTGTAATAAACTAATTTATTAAGGTAAGGTACCCATGAATGATAACAACTTAATATGCTATCCCTTTCAAGAGAATTGGCATCTCAACTAGATTCAAGTGATTAGACTGATCCAGAAGGGAGAATTAAATTGAATTGGTAGAAGTTAGAGAGACAGATTGATTTAAATCAGAGCTTCTTAACCCAAGATCCATGTCTGTTGATACATTTCATGGGCATCCATGAACTTGGATGATAAACAAATTACACCTTTATTTCAATGTAATTGGGTTCTTTTGTGATGCTAAGCATTTTTTTTTTGCATTTAAAAATGTTATTTATTCTGAAGGTACATGACCCCAAAATAGTTAAGACTACTTGGTTTAAGTTGAAATGGAGCTGTGGTGTGATTCTAGGTTTTGCTTAAATTTCGATATTACACAATGCAAATATCTTCAAACTACAACCAGTCTATCAACAATTATTTATCAAGTACCCACTGTGTGCTCAGTCCTGTGGGTAAGATAGGAGTAGCAGAGGATGGGAGGCAACATGATATTTAGGTAAGAGATCCAGATAGGAGATAGAAGACTTGGGTTCTAGTCATGGGCTGAGCTCTAGTTATTGTGTGACCTTGGGTCTCTCTCTGGCCCTCAATTTCCTCCTTTTTAAAATAAGTTGGTTAGGGCAGCTAGGTGGCACAGTGAATAGAGCACCAGCCCTAGAGTCAGGAGGACCTGAGTTCAAATTCATCCTCAGGTACTTAACACTTACTAGCTGTGTGACCCTGGGCAAGTCATTTAACTCTGATTGCCTCCAAAAAAAAGAAAGTAAAAAAAATAAGCCACAGAGACTAGATGATCTTTAAAGTCCCTTTCCTGCTCCAAGTCTATTCACTATCCTTGGGAATTTATTCTTTAGTTGGGGAAATCATACTTAACCCGTGTGAACCACCTGTAATACAGGTCTAGGAGAAACACTGCGTATGTGTAAGATAGGTATCCCAGCAGATTGAGAAAGAGCCAGTTCTCCAAATAGAGTACAGATTCAATCAGAGGATCTGGGTTCTCAATCTAATTACATAAATCTTTGGCAAAGCCCTCCAGTTCTCTGGGGTAATCTACGTGTTGCTGGAGAGGAAGTTTCCTAGGGAAACTGCCTCAGTAGACATGTTGTATGGCGGCAGCTCGGCTAGCACAGAAAAAAGGCAATGCCTTGAACGTGTTCTTTCCAGAAAGAAAAGGGAATCCAATATGGAGGGGCTGTAAGATGGGCAGAGGGTAATGGTAGCTGACTCCACTTTTTTTTCACAGGCGTTACTCCTCACCTGGCTTAGCTTTCATCTCTCGCTAGTGTGGGCTGGATTTCTCATCAAGTGTTCAGTGATTACAAATTTTTTCAGAGAGGAATTTCATAGTTTCCATTTTTTTGCAGAGGCAGCAGTAGAACACAATCTTTATTCCTTGGGCCAGGTGGAACCGTCCTGGATGGGATGCAGTGGTAGGCACCTCCTCTGACATATTTGGTGTCTTGCCCAAGACGATGAAATGTGAACCAAATGAAAATTTCCGTCCTTTCTTGCAAGTATTTTAATCAAGAGATAGACTAACCGGATTTGACGTGAAGCAGAAACAACAGGGTAGAGCTGGAAGCTTGAAGAACAGATGCTGTCGTTTAAAAGACACTGAAAGTGCCCCATGTTGTGTGTGGGGGAAAAAACAATCTTTCTCTTCAGTGCTACAGTGGTCAAAACAAAACACATATTTAGGCCAAGATGGAAACTGTTGCCTTACAAGGCTCCAAGAGAACAGACTTGTTGGGGGAAAGACTCTGCCCCCCCTCCCCCCCCCGTAATGAGAATAGCTCATACTAAGTAACACTTCACGGTTGGCAGAACACTTTGTACGTACATTATTGAAGCCCTGTGAGGAACTGGCTCTTAAGATTCATTTTCCAGATGAGCTCTGAACCTTAGAGAAGGGATATGACTTGCCCAGGGTCACACAGCTGGTACATGTCCAAGGCAGGATTCTTTACCCAGACTTTCTTGATTCTAAAGTCTGGTGCTCTTGGAGATATGCCAGACTTGATTTGTCAACGAGATAAGAGCCTCCCTGGGAATAAGCTTTCCACTGCTCTCCTCTTCCTCCTCCTCCTTCCCCATGTTTACTGCATCTTTTTTTTTTTAAATGAATCATCTTTTTATTCTTCTGCCTTCAGAATGTCCAGCTTTGTAGAACCTCCAGAGATTGTGAAAAAGCTATCCTGGGTAGAAAACTATTGGCCCGACGATGCCTTACTGGCCAAACCCAAAGTGACCAAGTATTGCCTGATTTGTGTGAAGGACAGTTACACTGACTTCCACATAGACTCTGGAGGGGCCTCAGCCTGGTACCACGTGCTCAAGGTAAGCCTTACTGTCAATGAACCAAAGAGCTTACTTAACCTGTAGGCAAGGACTAGAGGAGAGGTGGTAAGACAGGAAGAATTGTTGAATTGTGCTGATATATGAAACAGAAGCTCAAATAATGGAGACATCAGTGTGAGAAGACTTCCCAGAAAAGATGGGCCTCACGTTGGGTTTTGAGGAATTGCTGGATGTGGCCAGGTGGAAGGGCAGAGGGGGCATCCTAGGTGGGACCATTCTGGGTGGTCAGTGCTGCTTGGAGGCTCGTAATTACTGAATGTGAAGAGTGTAGGTGTCAGATGGAAACTCACCTAACTTGAGATTATTGAAGACTGTTCTGACCTTTAAGGCCTGACTCAGATGCTCACTCCTTTGCGAAGTTGCCTCTGACATTCCTCAGTCCTTCAATCTCTTCGCACCCATCTCCCCCACTGAAAGCGGCCTCTCCCTCCTCAGATTTCTCATGGCACTTTCTTGGGCCTCTCCTTTGCATGTATCATGGCTATTTGTGGATTTGTCCTTCTCCCATTAGACTCTAAACTTCTTGAGAGCATGGCCTGTGTGTTTTATCTGTGTATCCCCAGCCCTTACCACAGAGCCCTGCACGTAGTAGGCATTAATAAGAAGCCTGTTTGGTGCCACAATTGATAGAATGCTGGACTTGGAGTCAGGAAGACCTGAGTTCAGATCCTGTCTCAGACACCGGTGGTGTGATCCTGGGCAGGCCACTTAACTGCCCTAAGCCCTATAATAATAGCACCTATCTCACAGGGTAGTTGTGAGGATCAAATAAGATAACATGTTGGAAGTGCTTTGCAAACCTGAAAGCACTCTCTACTGAAAGCTATTATTATTACTATTGTAATTATTATTATTAGTCTACCTGTTCAAGCTTCTGGGAAAGCTACATGAAAAACAATGAGGGAATTTTATTTTCTTTAAATTAAAAAGGAACGCTTGAGTCCCTTCCTGTCCAATCTCAGGAGCGTATGATACCCCAAACTGGGTTGCTCTTGCCCTCGTGTATGTTTTTCCTGTTGCACATGTGGCCTCCTTCCCAGTTTTACTAAGAGGGATTTCTTCGAGTCCAAGAACATTTGGAGTTTAATCTATCACATCCAGTAACCTGGAAAATGATCAGTTCTCCCTAACGATGCTCTTTCTTGTTCAGGGGGAAAAGATCTTTTATCTCATCAAACCAGCTTCGGCAAATCTCTCTCTGTATGAGCGATGGCAGTCGGCAGCCAATCACAGTGAGATGTTCTTTGCTGACCAAGTGGACAAATGCTATAAATGTACAGTAAAGCAAGGCCAGACGCTCTTCATTCCTTCAGGTACGTCTGCTGCTAGAGCGGAGCTGCTGGTTTGAAAAGGAAGAAGGTCTCCTCTTGGCCTTCATCCTCTTCCTCCTCCTCCTCCCTGCTCCACCCCCCCCCGCCTTAAAGATCCCTCCAACACACACTCCTCCTTCCCCATTCCCATATTGGGCTGACCCCCCTCACCCCCACCCCCCAGTCTCGTGGTATTCCATGAAGCCTGCTCCACAGTCACTCCCATGCTCTGTCCATGTCACCTGCATGCAGGATCCATGCTACATACAGTCTCTCACCAGATGTGGGTGCATTTGGACAGTATAGACAAAAAGCCAAGGCTGAGGTGGCCCTATTTCATGGGTTTCTGAGTAGAGAGAACAGCCATAGTTTACCTGCGGAGCTGCAGTTCTCCCTTCTTTTAAAAAAAAAAAATTAGCTATTAAGACCACTGTCCCTCCCTGCCACAGTCGACACTTCCATTTAATGCCAACCCAGTGTAATTCTCCCTGCCAACAGGTAACTGAGCCTTTCCCTCAGGGGTTAAGCTAAACCAAGCTATGGCTGGGAGGGCTGTGTCTACACCATATTAGAACAGCTGCTTAAACAGCTGGCACTTCCTTCAAAGCCCCCGGCTGTTGTCAGCGGCACCGAACAATGTGCCTGACTGATTTCCCCCTATCCCTACCCACAGCCAGTGAGTTATTCCTGCCCAGCCTGTACAAAGTCTGAGGAAGGGCCCCAGGGAAGCTGCCTGCCCAGGGCTCTTCTCTTCCTCTGCATTCACTGAGGGGGGGGTGGCAGAGCATTAGGGGTCAGAAGACGGGGCATCTAGCCTGGCTCTGTTACTAGCTCACTGTATGCCCTGGACAGGTGACTTTCCCTCTCACCTCTAGAACAGGGGGGTGGGGAGTTGGACAGGATGATGTCTGGGCTCCTCTTGGTTTTAAAGGTCGGTGGTTCCCATCCCTCCTCAGGCGTGGTCCTCTATACTTGTTCCCCAGGCTGGGAGGTGCTCAGGCTTGGAGACAACCTCTTTAATCTTGGACTCCTCAATGCACCCAGTGCCTTCTCTCAGAGGTGCACAGTAGTCCCTGTTACCTAGGCCCAGAGGAAGCTTGCAGACGTGCCCCTGTGATAAGTAACTGACGTTAGGGCTTGGAAGAGGAGGTGAGCAAGGCTTTTCTCTTGCCCAGGCCTGGAGAAAGGACTCTGTATCTCCAGGTCTTGGCCTCACCCCACCTTGCCTCTTGGAGGGAAGCAGCTGAGGGTGTTTCTGGGAGGCCCCCTGTCCTGCTGCCTCGGAGGTGGAAGGGCCTACGGACACCTGCGTTTCTTCCTCTCTTGTAGGTTGGATATATGCAACACTAACCCCTGTAGACTGCCTGGCATTTTCAGGACATTTCCTTCACAGCCTGAGTATTGAAATGCAGATGAGGTATTGTGCTTCAAGTGTTTATTAATAATGTGCTACCCCTCCTTCTCCTCTCCCCACCTCTCTCCTCCCCCAATGCCCTGTTTCTAACTCTCCCTGGAAACTGTTGCTGTGCATTTTGAAAACTGTGGAGTTTGGTCACTCAGGGTTTTTCCCTTTTGCCACAGACTGAGCAGTAAGGCATGTGCCACTCTCAGATGCTTGAAGTAATAATGGGATTTCCTCTTCAATCTGACCTTCCCATGCCCCCCACAAGGGAAAACCTGCTCTTAGGATTTATAGGGGTTTTAAGGGGACAGTCTTCTTAGGGGAGTATCCAGCTGACCCAGTAGGAAGGAAGGAAGGAAGGAAGGAAGGAAGAAAGGAAGGAAGGAAGGAAGGAAGGAAAGCTGCTCTCTGAGGTTCCTGCTCAGATCTCTGAGGGGCTAGAAGATGCTCCCTTCCCTGACAGTTAGCATCAGTGTCTCATAACTCTGCCACTCCACATTTTGTCTGCCAGCCTAGCATGCATGCCCTCCGGAACTGATGGCCACCAAAGCAACTTAATCCCCAGCATTCATTACATGTTGTTTCAACGCTGGACATGAGGTGCCAGCCCAGCCGACCAGAAATCAGTTCTAAGCCTGACCCGTGAAGCCATACAGCATTTGCATTTCTCTGTCTCCTGGCTGTTGTTTTAGCGAGGCCTGCCTGGCTCAGGCCTGACCTAGCTGTCAGTCACTGACCTTGCCTGTGACTCATTACACTGAAGTACATTTTGCTTTGGATCGCAGAGCGTATGAAGTGGAAAGAAGATTGAAAGTTGGCAGTCTAACCCAGTTTCCGAACTTTGAAACTGCCTGCTGGTATATGGGAAAGCATCTGCTAGAGACATTCAAAGGTAGAGAACTATTCCTTGATTTTTTTGTGAAACTGGGCTACTACTGGTATGCAGGGTCAGTTGAAAATGCGGCCTTCCCCTCTGCTGGCCAAACCCTGGAGCTTCCCAGTTGGGCTTTGCAGAATCCAGTCCTTCCCACCATCTTCCTAGTTCTGCAGCTAGACAAAAGTAATAGCAATAATGATGATGATGATACCTAACATTTCTATAGCAGTTACTGTGTGCCAGGCACTGTGCTAAGCACTTCATAATTATTATGATCTCATTTGATTGTCAAGCGACCCTGGGAGGAGGGAGTGCTATTATAATCTCCATTTTACAGATGGGGAAACTGAGGCAGACAGCCGTTAAGTGACTTCTTGCTCAGAGTCACCCGTCTAGTAGGTATCTGAGGGCTGAATTTAAACTCACATCTTCCTGATTCCAGGTCCTGCAATTTATGTGCTGAGCTGCCTAGCACTGTTTTCATGGGAGAACTCAGAGTCAGGTGATCTAGGCTTTCTGCTTGATGACCTGAGGCAAGTCACTTACCCTCTTCAGGCCTTTGTTGCCTCACCTGTAAAATGGGAATAAAAATATTGTTCCCAGGTACCCTTTTGTATCTACCTTACAGGACCACTTTTCAGGAGCACATAATAAACTAGGTGGGAAAGCCCTGAGAATCGAGTTTAAAGTGCTGTCCATGGAGGGGGGAGGGATTTTCATTGAATTTGGAGGGATACATTTGGTTCCCAATTGTTTTCTTAGGGAATTCACTGACTTGGGTAACTTTTACACAGAACCTGGAATCTAGATTTTCATTTATAGCATCTCCCAATGTTTACTTTTTTTTTTTATGTTAAAAACATGTAGCTCTCCCTGTTGCTAAGGTATTTCAGCTTCCTGAGGTTGGCTGGAATTGTGCCCCAAGTGCGCCCACCCCCCCCCCCCCCACACACCAGGCCCAATGTTACTCATTTTTATTCACGAATTCTCTTCTCAGTAATGGCCCTTCTAGGAAGTGAACATCAGGACGATATGCAAGGAGCATGAAAGGGTCAAAAATTGGGGGAGCATTTTGATAGAACTCTGAGCCCCCCACGCACAACTGGAGTGCAGTTTGAGATGTGTTGGCTGATGGGAATAATGCTAATATCTTATATAAAGACAACATGGTGACAGAGTGGAATCCAATGATACTGCTCTGGAGCAGGGCTTCTTAAATTTTTTCCACGTGAGACTCCTTTTCCTTTATCAGCAGTGTTGTGTGTTGTATGGCCTAAGGGCATGCTCAGTGCAAAGTACACATGCTTTGTGTTCAGAACCAAGACTGCACTGAAGTTGCATGATGCAATGTGGGCAAGTGCTACAGAAAGACCTCAGATTCATTACACTTTTGATTTTTTTTTTTTTTTTTGGTGTGAGGCAATTGGGGTTAAGTGACTTGCCCAGGGTCACATAGCTAGTTAAGTGTCAAGTGTCTGAGGTCAAATTTGAACTCAAGTCCTCTTGACTCCAAGGCTGGAGCTTTATCCACTGTGCCATCTAGCAGCCCCAAAATCAAAAATTGATTTTGAATTGATTTTTGGTTGTTGCACATTCAGAAACCTTTTCTCGACCCACAGTTTAAGAAGGACCGGTCTAGAGTAAGAAGACCTGAGTGAGTCCTTGTCCTGGCCCTGCCACCAATTCACTGTGTGACTTTGGGCGTGCAGTTTTCCCTTCTTGCCCCTAAGTTTGTCTTATCTGTAAAATGAGGACATCACAGCTTTCTTTAACACTTGAACGTTTTGCTCAAAACAACCCAGGAACAGAGGTAGAGCAAATCTTATCTCCATTTTACAGTTAAAGATCGCAAGGCTCAGACACTTACTGCCATCCCAGAGTGTCTCAAGGCCAAGTCAGGTGCCATTTCTAAGTTCAACTCTGCCTTTTGATGCCAGAGCTGCTCTTCCAGCTCTGATGAGCAACAGATGTGCTTAGTGCCTCTGGCCTGGGGAGAGGGAACACTTTTTCGATTTCAAAGAAAATGTAAATGTAACTATTTCGCAGTTAGGTTCCTCTTGGACCTCATAAAAAAAACTTTGCCATCAGTGCCTCTTCAAAGCAACTTTTGTCTGTGGTGTTTGACTAGGCGCTGTACAGACCCTGGCCCTGCCCTTCGGGTGCAGACTTTGGTCCATAGCAAAGACTCAAAACATGGACAGACGGTCACATGAGGCCAAGAGAGGACAAATGAATAAGAAGAAAATAGCATTTGTAGTGTTTATGCCTACACTCACAGTGGATAGAATGCCTGACCTGGAGTCAGGAGGACCTGAGTTCAAATCCTGCCTCAGACATTTACTAGCTAACAAGTCATTTAACCTCTGTCCACTTCCTCATCTATAAAATAGAGATAATAATAACACCTGTCTCTCAGAGTCTATAAGGACTGTGAGGATAAATCAAGATAATATTGTAAAGTGCTTTGCAAATCTTTTTTTTTAAGCAAATATACGGAACATTTAATATTTAAATAAAAATAGAAAGCAATTTAGTTTACAAGAGCATTTACATTATAATTACTTTAGATAACAAAGTCACTAGTCACCCTCCCCTCCCCTTCAAGCAATTTGAAATACACCTTATGCCTTGGTGAGCTGGAGCAGGGACTGCCAATACATTGACATTCCATCATAGCTTCTGATGTCCTCACCCTCTCTCTGCCCTCCTGCCAAGCACCGCGAATCCCTGGAGTCCAGTGGAGCAAACTGAATGCTTTCCAATTCTTAAAATGCTATATAAATGTTGGAGTTGTAATGGTTTAAATAGCGAGATCTGGGGGAAGAGAACACCCTCCCTTATGCCATTTTAGTCCAGGAATGCTCCCTGGAAGAGTTGGAATTTTACTAGCTGTTTAAATAATGAAAAACAAAGGATTTAGCAAGGTGAAGGCAATGTGTGCCAGGGATCCCGAATTCCCTGGGACCCAAGAAGCTCTCTCTGCCAGGTTATGTCCTTTGCTTATGGTGAGAAAGTCTGTGGGTCTGGGGCCAGGGGTGGGGTGGAGTAGGAAGTAATGACTTGCTGTGCTAGAGCTGTGTCTGCAGAAACTAATCCAACCATTCCTTTCCTTAGGGTCCCACAAATCTGGTAAGCAGCCACCTCCCCATATAGTCCAAGGGGCGAAAATACTGAACGGTGCATTCAGGTCATGGACAAAAAAGCAGGTAAGGCAGCATCTTTGTTCCCATGGTGTGCAGATGGGGGGAGCAGATAGGGAAACGTACCAGGTCAGGGGAGGGGATTTAGAGTGTTGAGCCTGGAAGTGGGCATTCGCAGCAAGGATTTGTGCCCCCTGCCTTCAAGTATCTTTAAGGTTTGTCCTGCAGAAGGATTCCACTGATTCTGCTTGTGCCTAATGGGTAGAATTAGGAGGAATTGGGGGGAAAGTTTCAAAGCAGATTTCTACTCAGTGGGAGGAAGAACTGGTCCAGAAATGGAAAAGGGACTGGATTCCCTGTCACTAGAAGGATTTCAGCAGAGGCTGGGTACCCATTGTTGGGAATACCTTAGAGGGGATTTGGGCTTTTGGGGGCACTGGAAGATAGTTTAACTTCTTTGGACTTCTGAGGTTGCTTACAAATCTGGGATTCTAATTCCTGAAGTGGTCTTAGGACTTGTAGGGGCAGAGCATGGGATCTATAGTCAGATGATTTGGGTTCATCTTATGGTTCTTTTCCTTACTGCCTAGTATGGACAATCCAGTGTAGCAGAGCCTCAGTTTCCCCATCTGTAAAATGAGGTAGTTGGATTAGATAATGGCTGACATCCTCTCCAAAGCTAAGCTGTGATCGAATGACCTTTTTTCCACGTACAGCAAAATGTCATTCGGCGGTGAGCCTGTCCAGGCAAATGTCACTCAGGGAAACACTGTAACACTGTCACAGGGTGTTGAGAAATACCATGTCGTGGTCCAGCCTCACTTTATAGAGTTCATTACAGCTACCACTATAATCTACAGGTCTGAGATGCGGCGTGGCTCAATGGAAAGAGCGTTGGGCTTGGTTCTGGGAGACCTAAATTCAAATCCTGTTGCAAAATCTTGCTCTGACATTTATTTAGCTGCATGACCCAGGCCAAATCACTTTTCTCTCAACCTCAGTTTCCTCATCTATAAAATGGAGATAATAATACCTGTGTGACCTTCCTCCTGCTTTGTAAACCTTGAAGTGTCATGGAAACTTGTTACATTATTATGATGGTGCCACTTCTCTGTTGAATATCCAGCAATTCCCAGTTTCCTGTAGGGTCACTGGCTGGGCGTTTCTAGTTCTCCATAGTCTTGCTCTAGCCTTCTTTCCCACCTTTGCTAAGATAGCTTTATGGATTTCTGACAGAAGGGATGATTGGCTGGTCTGCTGTCTCATCTTTCCTGCTTCCATTTCTGTGAGTCTGAGTAGACCGTCCCCTCTCTCTGGGTCTGGGACTGAAGACTTTCTTTTCCTTCATGCGGGGTCCAGTCTGTGAAGCTTTCCTTTATTTCTCCCCCTAGCCTCCCTGCCCTTCTTTGCTCCACCCTCCTTAACTTTCTTGGAGGTATTTTCTCTTCTTCCTAAAATTTTTCTTGAACACTCTTTCTGGATTTCTCCTTTATCCATGTCTCCTTCTGCCTTATGTCATTCGTTGATTCAGCAAACATTTATTAGGGGACTGCATGGAGAGCACTGGGCTAGGCTGTGGAGGGAGGGAGAAAGTTGAGGTAAGACCCAGTCCCTGCCCTCATGGAGTTTGTGGTCTAAATGAGTATGATGATAATGAGGTTGATGACAGTTATAATAAAAGTAAGAGCAGCTAGGATTTATATAGTGGCTTTAAGGTTTGCAAAGTACTTGACAATTCCTTTAAATCCCCAACTAAAATCCCATCTTCTGTAAGAAGCCTTTCCCAAGAAGCTTCTTAATTCTAGAGCCTTCCTTTTAATGATTTCCTTTTTATACTGTATACAGTTTGTGTGGATATACTTCTTTGCATATTGTCTCCCCCGTTAGATTGGGAGTTCCTTGAGAACAGAGACTGTCTTTTGCCTCTTTTTGTATCCTCAGCACTTAGCATAGTGCCTGGCATATAGTAGATGCTTAATAATTGTTTATTGACTTACTGCATGCATTATCTCATTTGATCCTCACAACAGCCCTGTGAGTTAGGTATTGTTATTATCCCCACTTTACTGATGGGGAAACTGAGGCTGAGGGTCACCCAGCAGATGTCAGAAGCAGGCTCTGAACTGACACCAACTACAGTACTCTATGCTCACTGGTGCAAATAATTATAATACATAGCATTATATGAGATGCTAATTGGGAAGGTGAAAGGCAACGTGAGCTTAGAGCATGGACCCTAGTTGCTTACTTTTCCCCTTCATACACTATGTATGTGATTTGGTACAATGGAAAGACCTCTGCATTTCAGAAGGCCTGGGTTCCAATCCTGGCTCAGCTATTTACTGATTTTGTAATAATGAGAAAGTTACTTAACCTCTGTTGGTCTCAGCACCCTCATCAGTAAAATGAGAGGAGTTGATCTAGATGTCCCTTCCACCTCAAATTCTCTGATTTTATTTTGGCCAAATTGGAATACTAGTTGTTCCCTAATGTCATCCTGCTGTATCCAACCTCCATGCATTTACCCAGGCTGAACCCCCATGCCAGGAACACACCTATACTCCTTCCTTAGATGGAGCTCTCTTTTGCCCCTAAAATCTTCTGCCTTTTGGTACACCTATTTTTGTATATGTCATATTCTTGCACCTCCAGCCCACCCCCCTAGACTAGAAACTTTGTATCATAGTTTATCATCGTATTCCTAGTGCACAGCACAATGTTTTATGATAATTCTTTCTGGTTGAATTAAAGGGTAGTTTGGTCAGCAGGAGGGATGCACAGTGAATCTGTCTGGCAGAAGAGAACTGACGGAAAAAGCATTCCTGAATTCCCTCACATTGCAAAATTTGAGTTAATTTATAAGTACAAAGAGATGCTATGCCAGTAAAGGGACTTGGGGAGCAGCAGGAATCTGTATTTTCCTGGTAGTCAGTCCTCAAGTTGGAATCCAAGATAGGGGAGGAGGGGGAAGAGATCATACATACGCATCACCAGAAGGAACCTTGGAGGTTAGGGAGGATGTTGCTCCATCTTTCAAGGTGAAGGGGCAAGTTCTCTTGGGTTTAGCTTCACATTCATAATCTCTACTTTCCTATAAGTGAGGTAATAATCATCAGTCAAGGAGCATTGATTAAGCACCTGCTATTTGCCAGACACTGATGGGCACAAATATGAAAGTGGAATAATTCTTGTTCTTAAGGAGCTGGGGGGACCTGGAGGGACCTGGGGGGGGCAGTCCTTTCCAATCCTAGGTCTAGCATCCTGTGATAGTATGGCATTCTGTCTCCTGTTTCCACATCCTTGCATAGGCTCATTTCCACTCTTCACTGCAATCTCTTGGAATTCCTACTTCCTCCAACCTGAAGCCCTCCTTACCTGATTCACTTACCTGTTAATGTTCTTCCTAGATAAGTGAAATCACAATAACAATGACAATAATGATGCTTATGTGACTGCTGTTACCTAATAATATAATTAGTTGTTATTAATTAGAGAATAACACTAAGTAATATATATATAGTAAGCAAGGGCCAAGATTTATGTTCTGGATTGGTGGTGTCAGATTCAAATAGAAATGAATCCCTGCGGGCTGCATATTGATTTAGAAAACCACAAATTAACAATATCTATGTTGTAGCGTGTTTTCATATATTTTGTTAAATATTTTCCAGTTATGGTTTAATCTGGTGCTGGTGGCAGTTGGAGGTTCTGTGGACCATTTGTGGCTTGGGCCAAGAGTTTTACACCTCTGTTCTAGACAGTCTTTGACTGGAAATGAAAAGAGGGGTGCATCTGGGTTAGCTTAGTCTTAGGTGGCTTCATGGAGGAGGTGGTCCTTGAGCTGAGTTTTAAAAGATGAAGACTGGCATAGGAACAGTGTGAATGTGGTATGTGTAGGAGACAATAAGGAGATTGGTTTGGAGACTGGAGTAGAAGAGTTCATGATGGGGGAAAAAGAGGGGGAAAGCTGGGAGAGAGCTAGACTCTGGAGGGTCTTGTGTGATGGGCATTAAACCTCTTGACAAATGGGGAGCCCCTGCAGGTTCTGAAGCTGGGGAAGAAGTGCAAGTGTTGTTTCTAATGCCCCCCCAAATGAGTTTGGAAGCTGGCAGGATATCCTGTTCCATTGTCCTGCCACACTTCCCCAAGTAGCCTATTCATTTTGCAGGAAGCTAATAAAATGTCAGTGTAATAAAGTACCTAATCATTCTTGATGGTGGGCAGAAGGACGGTAGTCTCGGGAGATTGGTACAAGGGAGGAAAAATGAAGCCAAATCCCCTGATTACTTTTAGGTTGAGTACAGAGCAAGAAAATAATCCTCTAATACCTTATGTTTCAGGCCTTAGCAGAACATGAAGATGAACTTCCAGAGCATTTCAAACCATCCCAGCTTATCAAAGACCTTGCCAAAGAGATACGACTCAGCGAGGTGTGTCATCTCTCCTGACTTGGAGCAGGGCCTGGGGACTGGGAGAGATCTCCCTTTGTGGGCTGAGGAGCAGCAAGAGAGGGGTGCTCCAGGACTTGGCTGGCTCTGGGATCAGTATCTCCAGTAGGAGAGAGTTAGCTGGTTCCTCAGAGTGCTGAGCCAGCTGCAGCAGTGATTCGAAGATATTCCTGACAAATGATCACCTTCCCCCTTTATGCCACAGGCATCCTTACTCATCTCTGACTGCTTCCTTCCTGGTGGTGGGGGCAAGGGCAGGCTGTATTTTCCTATTAAGTAGTTTGGAGAAGGACCCAGGGTGCTGAGTAGGGGGGTTGGAATTCAGAGAACAAGGATCTCACCTCTGTTTCCTATTTGTGTGATGTTGGGCAAACTATTCACTTCCCTGGGCCTCAGTTTTCTTATCTGTAAAAATGAGAAATCAGGAAGACTCATCTACCTGAGTTCAAATCTGGCCTCTGACACTTACTAGCTATGTGACCCTGGGCAAGTCACTTCACCCTATTTGTTTCAGTTCTTCAACTGTAAAATGAGCTGGAGAAGGAAATGGCAAACCTCTCTAGTATCTTTGCCAATAAAACCCCAACTGAGGTCACAAAGACTTGGGCGTGACTGAAAAACAGTAACAAATGAGAGGCTTGGATTAAATAGCCCGAGGCCCCTTTTAGCTCTGCTATGATATTATGAGCCTAAGTAGTCATCTCCAGGTTTCTTATTTAATGCTGTCCCCAGATCCAGGGGAGCTAGAAAGGGGCCTAGGAGGAAGAGGAGGTTGTTATTTCCTAATCAGACGGCTGTCAGCCACTAGCCTCTGTAACCTCCTTGGATTTTGTTGGCTTTCCCTGTCCCTGTAAGACTCAAGTGTTAAGAGAAATCATTCCAATATAGAGAGTGTCTGTGGGGATATGTTTGGTTATCATGTTCATTTGGAGGTCATTGGAGTTCCTGACTGTGACTGGCCCTGAGGCAGCTCTTGGCCATTCCAACACAAACATCTAGCTCTTCTCAATCTCATTTGATTCCGGAACCTCCGTGTATTCTGAGACCAACAGCCCTCTGCTCAGAACAGTGGGCACCAATGTCCTCGGCACCACCATGGTCAAACAGGTAGGCCTAGTTCCTGAAGGGGAACCTAGCTCACAGGAGCCATGGCCCAGCCAGTAAGAAGTGGCTGAGTGATCAGAGTTAGGGCTGAACCCATTATTCTCAGCCTGCTGGAAAGTGGTCAGGTGACAGGTGTGTTTCTAAGGAAACCTATCACCATCAGAGCTGTTTCTGGCCCGAGCCATCACCACACTTGTTTGCTAAATCAGGCAAATCACCAAGGACTTCAGTTCCTATTTCCTGACTCCGGTTATGCTTTCTGGAATATATGACTCCATTCTGGCCACCATATTTTAGAATTCACACTGGCAGACTGGAACATATCGAGAGGGGGGAAGTCAAGATGGCCAAGGGTCTGGGCACCATTTCATATGTGGAAGTCTATGTTAATAGCATCTGGATCTTGAATTTTCAGCCAAAATCTGTCAAGCATTGCAACAGCCCCTTTGCTATGCTTTAATTATCAATAACTGCTACATCTTTTTGTGTTTTCTAATAAATCAGTCACGTTACAGTTATATTGCTTGGTTATAGAAGATTCTCTATTCCGAGGTATCAGGCTCCTTCTCTTCTTTCTTATTCCCCCTCTGTTTTTCCTGGTCTTCCCCTCATTCCTCTTCCTTTTGTTACCCCCTTCCTCCTCCCCAGCTCTCTCCCACACCTTCTTCCTTGACCCTTTTCCTCCTCTTCTCCCCCTCCCCACCACCTCCAAAAAGAAAACACATACCAATGTGGTGGTGGGGATGGATCTAGATTACCAAAAGAGGAGGACCAGAACAGACTCCATCTGCAAAATGGAGATTCAACTTCTCTATATCTGAGAGTTGAATGTCTTTAGAAAGGTTGGAAAGAGTTATTTCTAATTTCTAGTTTGGGAGGGGAACCGGTGGTTGCCATTTCTTTCACATGACTTCCTTTGAGTTGAATGATCTCATTGTGATAATGTTACTTGGATCTGTTAGGGCCATGTAGAGTCTCTATAGGGTAGATGATGGAGCACGGAATGATGCAGTTGTAGGAAATGTGACAGTAAACCTGTCTTCTGCTCTCTTCTTCCAGAACGCATTGAAAGTCACTAAACCTGAAGTTGGTGCCAATGTCTCCCCCAAGGAAGTCTGCCCTATGGAGAAGGAGAAGGAGGAGCCCCCATCCCCTGTACAGGTCACGCCACCTCCTTCCCTGGTGGAAAAATCCTCCAAAAAAAAGACTCCCAAAACTATGAAACCACCCAAACCATCCAAGATCCCCAAGCTTCCCAAACTCCCCAAACCACCGAAGCCTCCGAAGCCCCCCAAGCCCCCTAAAACTCCGAAGATCAAGGAAGGAGGCAAGAAGAAAGGGAAGAAGTCCAAGGAGTCAGCTTCCCCCACCATCCCCAACTTGGACTTGCTAGAGGCCCACACGAAGGAGGCACTGACCAAGATAGAAACACCAAAGAAAAGCAAGGTGGGTGCTTCTCCCCAGTGCCCCAGGTCTCTGGCTCTCTTTTCTGTGTCCCTGACTTCTTGCTGAGGGTGGTGTGGAATTGAATGATGTGGAGGTTAGGGCTGGGAGCAGAATTTAGATTTCTCTTCTTCACAGAGGGGCTTTCGTATGATAAATGCCTGCTTCTCAATCTTGGGGGTCTGGGCTCTTAGCTACTGCCATCGCCATCACCTTTCCCAGGAGCCTCATCTGAGAGCAAAGTGAAAACAAGCAGAAGCAGATATGGAGTTAACTGGATCAGGAGATACCTTTGAGGTTCTTTGATTCCATTTTCAAAAAGATTGCTTGTTATAGGCACACCTTGGCACATTGTTCAGCCAAACCAACCAATCAATAAATATTTATTAAGCACCTATTATGTGCTAAGTAAGCACTGGAGATACAAAAAGAGGCAAAAGACAGTTCCAGTCTTCAAAGAGCTTACAGTTTAATGGAGGAGACAAGCAAACAAATATATACAAAGCAAGCTATTACAGGGTAAATAAGAAATAATTGACTGGGGGAAAGCCATGGAATTAAGAGGGCTGGGGAAGGCAGGATTTTAGAAGGTGGGATATTAGTTTGGGAAGTAAAGGAAGCCAGGGAAGTCAGTAATCAGAGTGGAGGAGGGAAAGCTTTATAGGCATAGGGGACAACTAAGGAAAGCTTGTTCCTGGAATAGCCAGGGGGCCAGTGTCAGTGGATCAAAGAGTACGTTGGGCAGTAAGGTGTAAAAAGACTGGAAAGGTAGGAAGGGGACTGGTTAGGAAGGGCTTTAAATGCCAAACAGCATTTTGTCTTTGATCCTGGAGGCAATAGGAAGCCACTGGAGTTTATTGAATAGGTGGGTGACATGGTTGGGTCTGCGTTTTAGGAAAATCACCTTAGTGGCTGAATGGAGGATGGACTGGAGTGGGGAGAGACTTGAGGCAGGCAGACCCACCAGCAGCTACTGTAATAGTCCAGGTGTGAGGTGATGAGAGTCTGCACCAGGGGGGTGGCAGTGTCAGAGGAGAGAACAGAGAGTATTCAAGAGCTATTGTGGCTTTGGCAACACAATGGATATTGGGGGGAAGGGAGGGATGAGAGATCTTGAGGAATCCAAGATGAATCCAGGTTGTTGGTTTGAGGGACTAGGTGGATGGTGTTGCCTTCTTCAGTAATAGGGAATGTAGGAGGTAGGGAGGGTTTAGGGAGAAAGATAATGAATTTTGTTTTGAACATAACTGAGTTTAAGATGTCTACTGGACATCTAGTTTGAGGTGTTTAAAAGGCAGATGGAGTCTGTTCTGGTCCTCCTCTTTTGGTAATCCAGATCCATCCCCACCACCATATTGGAATGTGTTTTCTTTTTGGAGGTGGTGGGGAGGGGGGAAGAGGAGGAAAAGGAGAGAGGAAGAGAGGAAGAGATTGGAGGTCAGCCGGGAGATTGGGGCAAGAAAGGTAGATTTGAGAATCATCCGCACAGAGATGGCATTAAATCCATGGGAGCTGATACGATCACCAAGTGAAGTAGTATAGAGAGAGAAGAGAAGAGGGCCCAGGATAGAACCCTGAAGGTGTGATGTGGAGGAGGATCCAGCAAAGGAGAAGACAGAGAAGGAGTGGTCAGATAGGTAGGAGGAAAGCCAGTAGAGAGTGGGGCCCCTGAAATTCAAGCCTTGCAATTAGGCTTAAATTGACTTCTACCCATTGACTTCAGGGTTCCATCCTCAGATTAAGTGTGATTCCATTCTCCATGACAGCCCTTAAATCCTTAAACACATAACTCCCTGTTCCTCTTCCCTTTCTCTCCTCCTCCTTCCCAACAGAACAAAAACTCACGAACTGAGATTTTAGTAGTTTGTTGTTTATGATAATCAGCTTTCTGCTTGGCACCTGAGGGCAGAACCCAGGACCAGTGGATGGTGGTTGCAGAGAAGATTTAGGTCTGATTTCAGAAAAACTTCCTAACAGTTAGAGGTATTCAAAATGATGCCAGTCATGACCAGTGCGGTACCTTGTAAAAAGTAGATACCTTAAAAATACTTGTTGAATATGATGAAATCAAAGGAAAGCTTTTTAAGAAATGCTGTGAAAAATGTGAGGTGGAAGAGGATCAAAGACAGCTTCCCTGAAAAAGTGGCAGCCGAACTGTTGGGCCTTGGAGGGACGGGAGGATTTCAGTGGATGGGTGTGGCAGATGGGGGAGGGTGAGTTTGGGGAGTTAGGTTCAAGATGGGGAGGCATTGAATGGTTTCCCAGGATGTGCTGACTGTATTGAGGGCAGAGAAAAGATAACTTGCTTTTTAAGGCAAAGCAATAAATTAGTTTTAAAAAAAAATGAATGCATTTCAGGCATTTGGATGAGAGGCGATAACTGATGAAAATTGTATCTTATAAATCTTTCACAGTTCCTTGTAATCTTAGTAGGCTGTGAATATTTGTGTATTCACCTGAGGAGGTATTGCATCATCCTTTTCCTGTCTCAGATGATATAAGACTGCTTCTCCCATCCCCTCCTCCTTTTTTTATAGGTTTCAAAGAATGTTTTAAGTGTCCCCAGCAAAGAAGTCAGTAATAAGCAAAATGACGTGGAGAGGTTTGAAATCCGAGAACAGAATAAGACCAAAACGGAAGCCAAGTGGAAGTATAAGGTAAGGCTGGAGGCGTCAAGTGGTATGATAAGGACAGTCGAGTCGTGTTAGCCCTGGGTTTGAATCCTGACTGACACGCTGGGAGACTTCATGGCATGTCCTGTAGCCCTTCTGAGTCCCAGATTTCTTCACTGTAAAATGGGGAGAATGATACCTAAAGTCCTTGTCACACTTGGAGGACCGAGTGGCATGATGCATGTAAAACCTCGCATCAATGTTAGCTCTTCTTGTGAGCTAGCAAAGAGTGTGTGTGTGGGGGGCTTTCCGAATCAAGGGTGCATTTGTTTCCTCTCTACCAGGCCCTCCCTGGCACCTCTGGAAAGGATACTTCCTTTAATCCTTTCTGCTGTCGAGGGAAGACAGAAAGAATTTGGGCAGCTTGTCTGCCAAGGAAGTAGATTGAAACATGCCAGTCCTGGGGAAGCCATTGCAGCTTCCTTAGTGTTGGGAAGGATCTTAGAGATTGACTGGTCATACCTCTCTTTGCATGCAGAAATCTCTGCAGCCTTTTACCGTAGTCACTTAGCCTTCACTTAAACAGTACCTGGGAGATAAGTACTTCCTGCAGCAACCCATTGCATTTCAGGATAACTCTCTTTCTGAAATTCCTCCTTCTATTGATTAAAACTTGGTTCTGAATAACTTTCGCTCGCTGGTCCTCATTTTTCTGCCTGGCAGGCCCAACAGGAAAAGTTTATTCTTTTCCATCTTTTCAGGTATTTGAAGCTGGTGATTATGTTTCCCCAACCTGAGTGGTAGGATTGTAGCTCTCAATCTGGAAGGGACCACAGGGTCATCCATGTGGTCCAACCCCCCCCCCCCCCCCATTTTACAGATGAGGAAACTGAGGCCTAGAGGGGTTAAGTGACTTGTCTGAGGTCTCACAAGTGCTAAGCATGAGGAGTGAGATTTGAATCTAGGTCCCTTGATTCCACCGCCGTTGCTTTTTCTGCCATACTGCACAGCCTCCCTTCTCTTCTACAGGAAGTGTGATAGAAGTGAGTCAGGAAGACCAGAGTTTAAAGCGTCTCTTTTTTTTCCCACTTTTTTGGTGAGGCAATTGGGGTTAAGTGACTTGCCCAGGGTCACACAACTAGTAAGTGTCAAGTGTCTGAGGCTGGATTTGAACTCAGGTCCTCCTGACTCCAAGGCCAGAGCTCTATCTACTGTGCCACCTTGCTGCCCAGCGTGTCTCTTCTACTTTCTAGCTGTGTGACCGTGTGCAAGGCACTAAACCTTCCTGGTCCTCAGTTTCTTTATCTGAAGAGTGAAGAGATGAATGCCCTTAATACACAGGGTTTTCTGACATTCAGTTGAAATAGTTTTTGTAAAGTGCTTTGCACACTATAAACGTGGATAGTGTATGTTTTCTTTTTTAATGCCTTGTACTGATAGCATCCTCAAAGGCAAAGTGGGAGACAGGTAGGTCGGTTGTGTCTGCTTATCTAGACAAATGAGCCATTTCCCTCTTTATGATGAAGGCCATAGCACTCTACCCATGCCATGCTGTTTCCTAGGGATTAATGCTTCACACATTAAGAGTTGGACCTTCCTTATTCTGAATCCTCATCTTTAGCTTTGGGATACCCCTCTGGTTCCCAGTTCCCTTGGAGTAGATGATTTCTAATGTGCCTTCCAGCTCTGACAGTCTATGATTATCAGTAGACAAGTGGGGTGCATTCAAAAGACTCCTGTACCTGGAGTCGGAGCCTGGGTTCAAATCCTGCTTCTGAAGCATGCTGTCTCTGTGGTCTTGCTTACTGTTCAGGGATGCTGGGAGACTCAAATAAGACTAAAATTTACAAATGTAAGAAATTAACAAATGAAATTTCATTTCTTGAGTGAAAAACATATTCAGGGTGAGTGTTGTCGAAATGTCGTGGGCCTGACACAAGCGGAAAGAATTTAGGTCATGGCCAGTGAGCCATCTTACTTCAAACCAAAGGTTCAACCCACATCTGCCAAATGACTTCTCCAGCACACTTGTGTAGGGATCATCCATGCCATCTAATGATTGTCTTGTTCAATCTCTTTATCATTTTTTTTTTTCAATTTCTCTATTCTACACATGAGGGAGCTGGGTCACAAAGCAAGGGCAGTGACTTACCTAAGGTCATACAGCTATTAAGTGGCAGACAGGACTTAGACAAAGGAATCCAAATTCTCAGTCTTATCCTTAACTCACCATTTCTTTCTCTTGGCTTCTCCTGACCACTTATCCCTTACTACCCCTACCAGCCCGGAGAATGGAGCATGAAGACAGCCCTGGGCTTGGGAGGGAACACTGGACTGAGCTCATCTCCCCCACCTGTCCACGCAGTTCTTGTCATCAAGCAATAGATCTGAGCTGAAATGCTGAACTGTTCAGCTTAAAGTCCCATGGGGTTTTGTGTTTTCTCCCTTCTGATATGCTTCCCTCTTGCCTTCTCCATCGCCGTATGACCTCACTCTAGCACTTTTCTCAATGCTACTGTTCGTTATCAGGAACATTTGCTCACCTTCCTTTCCCCAAGGCACAACTGAACTCAGCTTAGCTCAGGCCTGAGCTGCCACGTTGGGCCTGCACGTCTCTGATTTCTGCGTTCTTCTTCCTGGATCGTAGTGACTGAATGATGGCTATGCGGTCGGATAAGTTCTTCCTCTTTCAAGTTCCCAATCTATAGGTTTTAGTTGTTTTTAGAGTATATCTTGAAGGTCCTCCTCCCATCACTTGGTTCAAATCCCCATGATGAGCCATTATGGGCATCTGGCAGCTCTCTTACTGACCAGGTGTTGGTTGTTGATCCAAGTGAGTGCATGCCAGTGAGATGCTGGGCCCAGGAAGCACTTGTGACACTTGTGAACATGCATGTATCCAATGGGACAGGTGTTTATGATATGGGCAGGGAAGAGCTGGCCAATGTGGCCTCCTTCCCAGAGCAGGGAAGTTTTTTGTAGATGCTGGTGGCTTCCAAAGAAAGTCTCCAGGAAGCCATGCTCCCAAACTTTTAACATTTATTGAGATGACAAATAGTGGCTTTACAGATGTTTTATTTATTTAATAATCTTGTGGGTTTTTTAATGCAAGAAAATGTTTTTCTTAAAATTAATTTCATTGAGAAAATTCATTTTTTGCATTAACTGGGTTTTTTTAAAAAAAATTCATTGATATGATTTTTAAGCCCTTAGTAGATCATTTCTCTTTGTATCTCCCGTGGTACCATGCTCTGCATATAGTAGGTGCTTAGTGGATATTTATTGAAATGAATGCTATCTGCCAGTTTGCAAAGAGGCCAGTATCTTGCAAAGAAGGAGGCATATAAACCTCAGCTCATTGAAAGAGTTCCTGACCACGTGGGAGCATAATCATGTGGCCCTTGCTCAGATGATCTTATTTTTTTTCTTATGTGCTATTAAATATTTTCTCAGCAGAGGAAAATTTTGCTCTTTTAAATGGTTTAGATAATGTCTATACAGGTTTTTTTTTTTTTGCCTTTTGGTGAGGCAGTGGGGTTAAGTGACTTGCCCTGGGTCATGCAGCTAGTTAAGTGTCATGTATCTGAGGCCAGATTTGAACTCCCAAGGCCGGAGCTTATCCACTGCACAACCTAGCAGTCCCTCTTTTTTTCTCCTCTTTTTTAAAAAAGGTGTTACTGGTATTCTTAAAAAAAAATCTCACTTCCCAACGACATCCTCCGCACTGCCCTTTGAAAGCAAAGCACGTTGACAGACTGGTCATTTTGGGCAGCATGTGCCTCATCGGCTGCCTGGAGTCCACAACTTTGCTGCTAGAGGAGAGAGGCCTGTTTCCCAGTCAGTCATCTGAAATCACATTTGGCTAATGTGGCTGGAGCTTTGAAGCCTTTCATTGTTGTCTTCATTTACGTTGTTGTGGTCTCTGTGTACGCTATCCTTCTGGTTCTTCTTCTTTCTCTCTGTCAGTTCAAACAGGTCCTGACCATGTTTCTTCTGTTGACAGATTTCATGGGTGGGGAAAGGGAGGTGGCCTTGATGGGGGGTGGGGAGCATTTTAGACACATCCATCTGAAAATGCTCATTTCCTGCTCCCCTGCGCCCCAATGAGAGGTTTGGCAATTATGTTTCTGTTTATTCGTGGGTTTTCAAATACCCATCTTCTGTGTATCCTTGTAAATGTTTCTTTTAAAATTTTTTTTTTCAGAATAGCAAACCTGATTCCTTATTGAAAATGGAAGAAGAACAGAAATTGGAAAAAACTCCTTTATCAGGAAATAAGGACAATAAGTTTATGTTTTCCTTCTCTAACAAGAAACTTCTAAGGTAGGTAGCAAGATGGGTGAACAGAGAGAGCAGATAGAGGTGATAGTGACCTCCTTGAAGGCTTCATCATGGCGTCAGTGTATCCTTGGCTTCCCAGAGGCTATGGCAGTGAGCTGTAAGCTCTGGCCAATATGACTGAGCTGGAAGGGGTTCAGGTGTGAACCCAGAAATTGTCTGAGGACTTACCTGTGGTTTTCGGGTCTTGCATCCCCTCTGGAGCTGGCTTATCAGCATAAGCTTGGTCACTAGGTGATGGGTTTTTTTGACTATCAATTCATTTAATTGTTCATTAATGCATAGAGGTATTGGGAAATGCATTGTTAGAGGGAGTATCTGTCCACATTAGAAATTTACAATTACACTTTTATTTACAATTAAATTTACAAATTTGCAATTACAATTTTACATTTATTTTACATTAAAAATTTACAATCACAATTAAATTTACAAATTTACAATTTACAGAAATTACAAATCCTTGAGATATTGAAATAAAGAAGCAGGAGGGGAGTAGAAAGAGGTGTCAGTATGTCATTGGCAAGAAGATAACATTGGGATTCAGTAGACTTGGTTTTAAGCCTCGGTTTGGGCGTTTAGTAGCTGGGCAAATCACTTCTCCATTTTTAAAATGGGTATAATGATACTTGTACTACCTAGCTCATAGGGTTGTTATGAAAAAGTGTTCTTAAGTGTGTAAACCATAAGTGCTATATAAGTGTGGGCTGTTATTCTGCAAGTAATATCTGCACGTACCCTTATTCTATGCCTTCTTATATAACAATGGCTAGATCTTTAGCTGTATTAATAAATAAAAGTGGGAACTATGCTTGCTTTTCAAATCAAAGAATCTGTTTTATAATCTGTTTAAAAACATTATATTATTTTAATTAGTCTTATTATTTTTAGTCAATTTACACCATACTCTAATTTAGCTATTATCATTGTTCTTGTTCTCATCTTTTTTGATGGAGTTCAGATAGAATGATCTGAGGACAAGTTGCTGGCATGCTATTTATTTTTTTATGTTTAGTATTCTATAGAGAATAATGAGGCAGGTAGGTGGCATCGTGGATAGAGCACTGGCCTGGAGTCAGGAAGACCTGAGATTAAATCTAGCCCTAGACACTTACTAGCTGTGTGACCCTAGAGAAATCACTTAATGCTGTTTGCCTCAGTCTCCTCATCTGTAAAAGATGTAGGAAAAGGCAAACCACTCCAGTATCTCTGCCAAGGAAACCACAAATGGGGTCATGAAGAGTCAGATACGATTGAACACAACAAGATGATGTTCACGAATGTTTTTCTTGTTTTGGTCTGGATCTATGACTTTTATTGGTGAGGTATAGAAACTGATCTGTAAGTTAGTTCCAGAGAGTTTTCCCTGGCATTCACAAGTGAAACGACTTGCCCATACTGACATGTGGTAGAGACAGGACTGGTCACCAGCCCTTCCCGACTCCAATGAAGGCTCTCTCTCCCTCGTGGCAGCATACTGCTGCCTCCCTAGCTCTTCCTGTTTTTGTTATACCATGCCCAAAACAGCTCCTGCCTTTTCAGAGTAAGGGTTGAGGGCACCGGAAATACCTTCGACCAGAAGTTTATAAATCAGCGGCCAGCATTTCCTCCTTGAGAACTTTGAACAAAGGTCTTCGGCTTCTCTTCTCCTGAAAGTGAAATTGCCCCTTCTGAGACAAATGAAAGATATGGAGATACAGAGATTTATCCACTGCTTCTCTCATTCCCCTACTAACTGATCTTGAATACCCAGCCACCATGCCCCCACGTGCAAGGCATTGGACACTTCTGCCTGTTCTCCTCCTAGTTCAAATTAGCCTTATTAGACACGTGAAGCGAATTACTCAGATGGGGAATTTAGAGCAGTCGTTTTCCATAGCCGACCCATCTCAGGATTTTGTTTGCCAAAAGAGCTTAATGATAAAAACGTGTTAATTTGCTGCTGTTTCCATGCAGTGAGTCTTAGTAATGCTGTCAACACCTGTCAGGGTTCACACAACAATTGTTTTATGGTCTGGCACTCTTCTGATGTGGTCCAAATCAAAGTGCCCTGGGACAATTCCAGTGCTATACCAGTCAGCTGCATCAGTGACAGAGGAAGTACCCACTCTTGGGGTAATGGTTCTTTCACATGGTAGACACGTGTGCATCCATTCATGTAGAGTCTGTGCAAACGTGGTATTCACGCATATGAACATGTGTTGATAGAGCCCAGTTACCAATGGTTACATCCAAATCCGATATTGTAGCCATTGAACTCGTCATAATCCAAGTCCTTTAAAGAAGGGAATTCTGGTTTCTTGCTTTACTATTTGACCTTAAGCTAGTCCCAGATTTTTCAAATGCTGAGTCTTTCTTGCTTGCCTTCTAGTATCTAAGCACTTTAGAGAGTCAACCTAATTTAGTGGAACAAAACACTGAATTAGGAGTTGGAAAGCCCTGAGTTCAAATCCTACCTACCATCCTAATGAAGTGTGTTACCTTGGACAGGTAATTCAACCTCCCTGACCCTCAGTTTCATTATCTCACAGGGTTGTTGTGAGGCTCAAATATACAATATACTTTATTTAAAGGGCTTTGAAAGTCTCAAAGTGGCTATAGATTTCGGTTCATATTTTTTAGAAGGAGACGTATTTGATGAACAAGTGTTTGTTAAGCCCCTACTATGTTTTAGCTAACCTAATAGTGCTGGGGACACCACAAACAGTACCCTCATATTACTACCATGCTTCCATATGAGAACAGGTAAAAATCCATACCCTCTTATGATGAGTTCTAATAAAATGTCTTGAAAATATAAAGTAATTTATGGCATAAATGTCAAAATTAGTAACCTGTACATATAGTATGCCCTTAAACTGTGTTAGATCTTTTTTTTATAGTATCAGTGTTATATAATATCAGAGTTTTTTTTTAATAGTATCAGTGTATCTGTTGTTAATAATAGTATCTATTTTCAAGAGCTGTCCCATTTCTATAGCCCTATAGCCCATTTCTATAGTATTATTTGAACTTCACTTTACCACCATTTTTACTATTAGGGGGTCAAAAAAATTTCCTGACAATTCCCTATATGGACCACACATTGGGGGGGTTTTCAATGGGGACATGTCCATGAGAAGGCAGGGGGTATATAGAGAAGATTTGGCAAGATTGAAAAGGAGGTAGTAATGTGGGCCTCATTTATAAGTGGGGAATATGGAAGCTCCAGGGGTTCTTTCAGAACATGGTAAATTATTTGGGACTAATAATAGCTCACATTGATTTAACTCTTTACAGTCTGTGAAAAGCTTGACATATCTTATCTCAATCGATTTTCATAGCAGCCCTAGGAGGTCAGGGTTATTATCATGGGCATTTTCTAGATGAGGAAACTGAGGCCATGAGAGGCTAAGTACCTTGCTCAGGATCACGTAGCTAATAAGTATCAGAAGCAGGATTAAAACTCAGGTCTTCCTGACTTTGGCCTCAATGCTGTAAGCTCTATGCTACCCTCCTCCTCTTGAGGGTTTGAAGTCTTTTAGAGGAGCCAAACAGTGTGGTTACCTGCTTGGGAGTGAGGGAGAGGCTCATGGAAGTTGACAGTTCCGTTTTTAAAGAGAAATAGTTGTTTGCATGAACCTGACCGATGATTTCTAATCTTTGTTGCAATAGCTCCAAAGGCATTAAAACCCAGACGAGTCCCGGGGTGTTTGGGTCCTTACAGAACTTCAAGGAAGACAAAACCAAACCAGTTCGGGATGAATATGAATACGTGTCTGATGACGGAGAACTCAAAATTGATGAATTTCCAATTAGACGGAAGAAAAACACAACAAAAAGAGATTTGTCTTGTAAGTCATGTTCTCTCTGTATTCAGTTATAGCAGTGACCTTAAGCTCTTTAGTTGAAGAATTCCTCAGGCTAGCACGAGGAAACATTTCCAACAAGCAGCATGTGCTTGACTTGCCTTGTAGACCTAGTCAAGAGGTGCATATCATTGTCCAGTTGTGTGAAATGTGCCATTTTCTTCAAGAAAATCCTGTCATTCCAATTTCATTTTTTCTTTTAGTTTTGTCAGATAAGAGGGAAACCATCCAGCACACACCCGTGAAGAAGCCAAAGGTTGAATCAGTATTATACAAGGTGAGTTGTACTTCTTCAAATGTATGTTATCTGTTCGGTGACATGGTTCATTGACGTGTCTGTGTTCCAACTAAGGTCATGAGCCAAGTAATGTTGAGATGAGCTCCAGCATTTTGCCACGAAACCAGAACACTAGTGATGGATTGTCCTTCCCAGAAAGAACTGTTACAGTGCCAGATTGCCACCATTGATAGGGCCTTAGCACTATTTTTCTAGTGACACTTTTTTTTTTTTTTTGCTAGCTTCATCTATACTACTTCTCCTAACCTCCCTTATGTCTTTAGGAAGACAGCAGATTGGGGGTAAAGATACAGTCTTTGGCTAAGGAATAGAACAAAGCCTTTTTCATTATGAACAGAACAAGTGGGCCTAACCAGACACTGACAACCTCAAAAACAAGTAAATATTGGTTGGTTTTTAACCCCAATCTTCAATGTAAGCTCAGCCTGCTGAAGTTGTGACTTCACAAGCACACATTAGGCTTTAGGCAGAGGTTGTGACCAATGTCAGTACTGTTCTGCTACTGACAGTGTCATCTCAGTGGCCACCTCTCTTCCAGGAAGCTTGCCCTGATCTGCTCTGCTGGATGGAAATAATCCCTCCCACTTTGGGACTCTTGTACCTCTATTTTATCTTTACTTAGTATGTTCTCATTTAGGTAATTCAGGTACTCCTTCCATGACTCACTCTGGTGTGGAGGTGACCTTGAGTTCTCAAAGGCCATGCTAGGTGATGTAGTGGATAAAACGCTGGATTTCGAATTGGGAGAACCTGAATTTAAAGCCATCCTCAGATGAGCAGTGTGACCCTGGGAAAGTCACTTTACCTCTCTCAGCCTCAGTTTCCTCATCTGTAAAATTGGAATAATAATAGCACCTACCTCGCAGGGTTGTTATAAAGATAAAATTAGTTAATGTAGGTAAAGCACATTACAAACCTTAAAGCACTCTATCAATGTTAGCTCTGATGGTGATAATGATGATGATGACGATGACGATGACGATGATGATGATAATGTTGATGTTGATGCCAGTAAAGTCTTAGTTTTGTTTGGTCCTAAGAAACAGGAAAGGCTTTCATGTATGGGCATGGCAATGTAAACTTTCTCTCAATATACATACGTATGTATATATGTATGTATGTATATGTGTGTATATGTGTGTATATATGTATGTATGTCTGATATCCAGACACGAAAGTGATAAATTCTTTTAGCCATTGTGACATTGAAGACAATGAGGAATCTCGATCTGCATTCATTGATAGAAGGAGGATCCACACAAAGGGAATTATAAATTGTGGATGTATTCAAATAGTGCTTGGGGCACATTACTTCTATTTCCTGCCAGACCATTGCCTTGAGTGCATGTGCCATGTTTTCCTAATCTAGGCATCTAGGGGGTGCAATGGGTAGAGTGTTGGAACTGGGCACAGGAAGACCTAAATTCATATCCTTTTAGACACTCACTAGCTCCTGGGCAAGTCATTTAACTGCTGTCTGCCTCAGTTTCCTCTTGTAAAGAATGAGGATAATAATAGCACCTACATCCCAAGGTTGTTTAGGGGGGAAGGATAAAATGATGATTTTTGTAATATTTGTAGTAGTGCTTTATAATATTTGCAAAGTATTGTTTGTAAGCCTTAACGTTCTGTATATATGCTAGCTATTATTTTAATGCTAGCTATTAATCTCTGTTCTCTATGACATCAACTACAACCAACAGTCATTGATCTGTACTGAATATTTATTGAACCTTATGCCTCCTATTGCACTTTATCTGTAGCTGAACCCATCCCAAAGACATGGCGTCATTTGCCACCATTCTGAAGGGGAAACTGCTTTCTCTGCCCACTGTGCTCTTCCATCCTTATTGGCCATGTGGACAGTTTTCTGCAGATTCCTAATGCTCTTTTGCCGCGTTATTAGATCCAGTGACTGCTCCTCTGTGTCCAGTCGGTTCTGCTCAGAAATGGGAATGAAGGCAAGGGTGGGCAGCTAGTTGTTCTCCATGGTAACTTGTGTTGACCATCGTTACCACCAGGACAGAGGGCAAAGAGCTGTTAATGTGCAAAGGATCCTAGAATTTAGAGCTGGAAGAAATCACTTAGATCGATCCCTTCCCATGTAACAGTAGCTTCTCCCCTTTCATTCTAAGGATATTCAGTCTTCCTCCCCTCTTTCCCCTTCTGACAGTGCTCACCCAAGGGCAGTTCCCTTTTAACCTCGGTAAGATTCCTGAGAAAGAGAGAAAAGGCTTGTTGGCATTGGGTCTGGAGGGCAGTGGTCCTTTCTCAAAGCTGGATAGAAGAAGAGAGGAGCTTGCTAGGGCTCTGACGCTTTGACCATATGCCTCCTGGTTTCCACAGGTACATGAGTGGGGCCCAGGCACCAAGGTTTGACTCTTCCCATACGTATATTATTTTCAGAGCTCACTTCAGGCTGTGACAGCTAAAGTTTCTTTAACTGGCCATTTTTCCCCCCAAAGGGGAATTTATAAATTTATTACATTATATATTTAAAATTGTGTTATAAAAATCCATCCCCCAGCGGATGGCTGTTATTGAGCACCACAGATCTTTTGTTCACTTTGACTCACCTGTGGTTTTTGCCTTGTCTCAACAGAGTGACGATTCATCAGATGAGGATTCTCTCCATATTGATACAGAAGCCAAGCCAGGCCGCAATTCCAAAGTAAAGAAGGAAAGTGGGAGTTCAGCAGGAATTCTGGATCTTTTGCAGGCCAGCAAAGAAGTTGGAGGCTTAGAGTATAACACCAACAGGTAGGCTGCTCTCGTCAATCCTGACCTGGGACGCTGGGGAGCCTTTCAACAACCCAGTGTTGTCAGTGTGTGTCGCTAAATACAACATGTCTGTAATTGGGCAAGCATGCCTGGGAGGGAGGAACCCTAGCCAGTAGAAAGTGTCAAGCTCTGGGGGATGATGACAAAGTGGGCCCATATTTTCATACCACAATAATACATGGGGTACCTCACTTTTAAAAATTTTATTAATAGTTTTTTTTATTTTTACGTCATCTTTAATTTCAAATATTCTTCCTCCCACTCCCCTACCCAGTCATTCCTTGTAAGAAAGAATAAAAAAGAAAGTACCCCAAAAAAAATTCTTCAGCAAAACCAAACATGTTGGCTGAGTCTGATAGCACATTTGATGTTTGACTCCCATAGTCTGCAGCCTCTCCATCTGCTCATCTTTGCTCTGGGGCTGAAATTTTTCATTGTGATTACATTGTTCAGTTTACTTTTCTTCTTTGTGCTTTACCTTACTATCATTGTATGTATTGTTTTTCCTGATTCTGCTAGCTTAGCTTTGTATCAGTTAGTAGAAGTCTTGCTTCTCTGCATTCTGCCTATTCGCCATTTTTGTGTGTGCACTATTTCTTTACATTCATGTACCAACATTTGATTAGCCATCCCCAAACAGTGGGCATCATCTCTGTTTCTATTTCTTTACTATTACCAGCAGTGAAATGCTTCCCTTCTGAAGAGATTTGGGTAGTGAGCTTGTGTACTTCTTTAAGAAGGAGCCAAGGAGGGGAGAGTGGAAGTTTGATATAGCTTCCCTCATTCCTAGGGCACTGCTGGTACATTAGCATCTCTGAATAGAGAAGTAGAAAAAAGGTTGGAGGTGTGGGCATTGTCTCCAGTTCCAAGAAGATACAGGGTTAAGGGAGAATTGAAATAGAAAGTTTGTGGTCTTGAAAATCATTGGGGTGAGAATGTCTGATATGCATATGTTGGACGTGGAAGATCCTGTGTCTCAGTGGCATTGCCCTCAGAAGTTGGGAACCATCGTAGCCTGAGTTGGGTTTTTCAAGGTGTAGATGGCTGCAGATAGAAAACAACTCCCACGGAAATTGTATCTTCCTTTAATCTAACGAAGCCATGCTACCAGATCTTTGCATAACTTGAGAACTTACACAGTTACACTTGAAACCAAATGGAAGCAGCCTTTGCAATAGACTCACAGCCACCAAAAGCCTCTAATCATCAGCCAACCCTCATGGTCTCCCCAGTGAGCTCCTCCCTATTGGACATCATCAAAAAATCCAACCAAAGATGGGGAGGCAACAAAAAAGACCCTCCTCCGTGCCCCACATTCCACTCATTGACATTCTAGTAGGCTGCATCCCTGGAGTTTTATGGGTATGGGACTTTGTGTCTGCTACCTCAAGAGTGGGGGCTAATTCCTGACCCTGAGGGCTGAGGTGGAGGAGGGTCAGGTCTGCATATTCTGAAGCCAAACTCTTGGCATCTGGCCAGGAGAAAGATGGGCATAGAAGGTCTGGTGGCACCCCATAGAATCAGAGACCTGGTTGTATTGAATGGGTATTGAGGGAGAGCCTGCCCTGTGTAGTACAGATGCGCATGGTAATGTTTGCACACATCTGGACCACTCTAGTTAGAGTGGTCTTATCACTTAGCATCAGAGTTTGGGGAGACCTTAGATCACGTCTATTCCAACCCCATCGTTTTATAGATGAAAAAGATCAAGGCCCAGAGAAGTGGCTTGTCCAAAGCCAGGTGGGTCATTAGCAGGGCTGGGGTTTGAATCCAAGACCGCTTAGTCCAAATCCAGTGCTCTTTGTACTATGTCATGCTGTCTCACAGCAGTATCTCATTTATCCAGAATCCAATAAGCAGAAAACTTGTATAGCTGGAGACTTTTCTGTAGTCCTTTTTGGGGCAGTCATTGCAAAGATCTTTCAGACATGGCCCCTTGACATGGCCCCTTCTCAGGGCCCCTTCTGAATCCTCCGAGAAACATTCAGTCACCTCCAGGACACTGTATGTGCCAAGTGAACTTGATTATATTTGGATATTGTCCTTGAATGAATAGGGTCCTCTGTATATGATTCCTGGTACTTTTCTGGGTTCGATTAACCCCATCACTCTTATTCTTTGACCACACTGGAGCTAAGTAGGAGCTGATTTTGCATGTGAGCACCAGGCCCTGAGATCATAGAATCAGACGTTAAGAGTCAGAAGGGACCTTAGAGGTCATCTCTTCCCATCATCTCATTTTACAGATGATGAAAGTGAGGCCCAGAGCATACCCAGAAGGATGGAGGGCTGACACTCATGGAGGGCTGACACTCATTTCCACCCTGTGACAGTCAGTTCAGGAAGGCTACTTCCTTAGGGACCCTACTTTCATATCATTCAAATTCTTGACTCTTGGAAAAGGCAACAGGGTACAGTTAGAAGAGTGGGTGGCCTGGCTTAGATGAAATCTGGTTAAGCCATTTGCCCTGGGTGGGTTGAGGGTGTGGGCACTCGTAACTCAGAAATGAATAAAAGCCGAACTTTTATGCAAAGGCACCAGAGACTCCAAGGCTTTGCCTCCCCATTCTGTCCAATCCCCATCTCAGCCTTCTTAGCCTGTGTGGTTTCTGAAATCAAAGTTGAAGCATCAGTAAGAGTGTGGTCTGAAATCCAGCCCTGCGTGCGGTTGGTAGTTTGGCAGGAATCGGCCATATCAGCCCTTGTTCTTAAATAAACACTGGGGTTCTGGTGGTGTGGGCTAAGGTCTTGATTGGAAATAGCTCTTGCTAAATCAAATGACTGTATTTTGTTTCATAAATTACTATTTTGTATGCAGGATTCTCTTCACAGACAGCCATGACATGCTTTATTCTAATGGGAAAGAAATAGGACCCGAGCTCTTTATGGGGTTTTGGACGACAGATGTGGGGAAGGTTTTCTGCTAGGTATCCTGCATTTCCCTTTCTGTTTTGTTTGCTTAACAAAAAACCCACAAAGTGAATAAACTTGAAATCTTTATCTTGGACATTACACATGTCATTACATGGTAATGCTCTGTAGTTATGTTTTTGGTGAATTTGGAGTTTTGCTATTGTAACTTGGAGTCATAAAACACGAGCTGTCAGGAACATCAGATGTCAGGAGTTGGGAGGGCCTGAGCTGCTGGAGCTAGAAGGACATGGAAAGTTAAAAATTAGAAGGGCCCTGAGAACATAGACTAGGCTGGAAGGGACCTTGGAACACAGAATGTTAGGACTTGGGGGGGACCGTAGAAAGACTGAGCCGGAAGGAGGATCAGAACATGGAATTTTCAAGTTGGGAACAAGAGTCACAAAGCACAGATTGTTAGAACTGAAAGATCATAGAACATGGAATTGCTAAAGCTGAAAGAGAGGCTTCCAAGGCTATCGAATTCAACTCTCATTTTCAGAGGCTCAAACCAAGCCCCAGAGAGGGGAAGCTCAGGGCTTCACACAACACAGCTAGTTAGTGACAGAGGTGGATTGTGTCTCTGGCTCCCAATCTCCTGGGCTCTTCCCCAGACCAAGCTATCTCCTTGTGAAAGTTCCCTCCTCCAACCACTGGTCGCAGTAGTTTCACTTTGCTTGTACCAGGGGCACAGCGCAGGCTTTCTGGGCACCATGACATCCCTTGTCAGCACTCTTAGCTTATGAATTTTGCATTGGTCACGCTTCTCCATTAAATGGTCATGTACTTTGCAGATCAAGCCTCCCTGTGGGTGCTAACAGTTCTCATGGTTCTGCATCTTTAGAGGGCTGAAGATGTCTACCACCCAGCCAACAGCACATCAGAGAGCTTAAGCCCCCAGCAGTCCTGGGAACTCTGGCTTCTCATAAAATCCCACAAGTCCCCCGAATAGCAATGGACCTCTGTAGCAGAGAGCCTTTGGGGCAGTAGGTACCTAACTGCGGTATGTGGCGCTCTCTTCCTCTTGCTGAGCTTTCTCACGTATCAGAGGGTCTCCACAGACCCAGACAACAGCGACTCAGAAGTGTCGGGGGCAAGGGAGCCCAGCTTACCCTGCTGTTTCCATTCGAGCTGAGGGGCAGAGCCTGGGAGGTCCTCTTTGGAACTGATACACTGGAGTTCATAAAAAAGGTTTTGTTCACAGTCTTAACCAAGAGAAAGTAAAGACACAAGCAGAAAAGGAAAGAAGTCATTTATGGACCCTGTAATAAGTCACAGCAGCTTTCAAATGCCTAATGATGGTTTCCTGTTTCGTGTTCTATATTATGTACATTTGAGAGCACAGGGCCAGAAATGAAGGGAGGCTGATCTGCAGATAAATACCCTAATGAGAAACACTTTGCATTCAGTCTCTTTAAACCAGTTTTACACACATGCATGCAC